AGCATCACCTTGGTGCCGATCCTGCTCAGCTTGATTTCAGCTGCAACGCCCAGCGATGTGAGATCGCCAATGAGCGTGCTGAGTGGCACTTTCATCACCACCAGTAGAGGAAGCTTAACTTTTGTCGCACTCGGGACAGGCTAATTTTCATGATCGACGGAAACGCCGAAATCACCGATGTCGTTGACGTTCGTCACGGTTTCGCGGCCACTCGCACCATCGGAGGCCCTGATTCTTCTTCCTTTTCTTCGTCCGCTTCACCTCCGCCGGTGGGGCATTCCCAACATCGGTGGGAAGAGTAGCGTACCTATTTGTGATAGGTACGCACGAGCTACCTTCACCACTGTTCTTCACTTTTTACGGAGCTTGCTCCGGGAGCGCTGCCTTCCCATCACTACGACGCGAACAAACGCACAACTCGAACAACTCGACTGAGCGAGCCAAAACCAGACTTAACTGCTTGACTACTACACTACTCGAGTCTCAGATGGAACCATGAATATGTACATCAACTGAACTGAGTGAGTGAAGTGCAAACGATCTTGAACGAATATACATATATATATATATCGCGATCTGAGATGATTTTTGAAACGAAAAACCACTGTGATGATCCGGATCAGATGTGATCTTTTGTTTGCATAGCGACACTAAGATCTTTAATTTGAAGGAGCTTGGGAACGAACTCACTATCTTCTGCTCCGTGAGCAGATAACGGTCACTAGGTCACCGAGCCCCTGAGGGGCTGATATCATAACAATTCGATTCGTTCCCTCCTTTTCACAGCTCCTTCTGCTCTTCCTGCTTGATGAGCTTTACCTCGGTAGGTAGGGATTATATTTGGCGCTGAGGCTTTGTATCATCCGCCATCATGAAATAACTTCTGATCCCGAATTGTACCCGGGCCTTTAACACTAGGAGAACACATACTCACTTCAAGTAGCTAGAAAAAATCGAAATTTTGTTGTTACACTGCCTTGCACTACTCATGTGAACAATAAAAAAGCCGCACCCTCTACCGATAAATTTTACAAAAAAAATCGCCCATAGGATGTACCGTAAACAGCCGTAGGCTGCGACCGGCACGGGAACACGTGATCTATTTTTGCTTGACTTCGTAGAAGAAATTTGAGGCAAAGTGAACCACCTATTTCGGGGCCGCCCAGTCACACACCAGTCACCGGGAAGCAGAAGTTTGGCGTCACATGTGATGTGTGATCAGTTCGGTAGGAGTAGCAACTTTGGTGTATGGGTTTTTAATAGAACACCAGAACGGACAGCCGCCAGAGCGAAAATTGCTTTGCTGGTGTTTATTTTTTCGATGGGGGCTCGTCCCACTTGCTTTACTGTCATTGACGTCATACATTGATGGTGATAGTATTCTATAAAGTGGGAATAGAACAAGCCACATGGTGTTCTACATTGTAGGCGGGTGGTCGTCGTTGTCCTATGTATGCGTACCGGGAATCGATTTTTCCGCTTTTCCATGTCTGTGTGTTTTAATGATGAATGCAGTTTTCAATCCGATTGACTGTCGTGGGTGGGATGTTTTTTTTTTTCATTCTCAGTGTTGAGCAATACTTGTGTGGGTGCTTGGGTGGACCAGCGCAGCCGGGTGGTGATTGAATGGCAGATCGCGTGTGGGACGATACATGTGCTCACGGTGCAAAATTCTCACTGGTAATCGGTGAGTGCTTTGATGCTAATTGAGAGAGTGAGAGTATGATAACGGTGAGATTTTAGTTGAAGTAAGGTAGAGAGTCTTGCCTTCTTCGGAGGAAAATGGGCTTGACACGATTTTCGATCGAAATGTGATCGCGATTTATGCACAATGGATACACATCCTATTTTGTTTATCTTTAGAGCCCAGGACTAGGTAGTATTTCTGTGTAAAAGGATTACATAATCCATTGACAAAGAAAAAATACCAACCACGGGTTATGACTTCGAAATCAAAAGTTATCAAGTTTTATTTCGCCCTGTTATTTGTAGATGCACATTTCAAAAGATCCTATCTGCTGTGGTCGATGCAATAGGTCCAAAGTGCTGAATAATGCATTATGTCCTGAGTTACATTGACAGATTCTCTTCGTCGACTTTCCCTTTGCATCCTCATGGTCAAGTTAAGACATTCCCAGCTATTTTCAGCACACAGATCGATGGAAGAAGCTATTATATAGCTTCTAATACGACAAACATGACAAGCAACGGTTCTGTACCCAAGTTATTAACGAAAGAGAAAGTCGATGAAGAGAATCGATCAATGTTACTTAAGACCATGCATTGTCAGTTCGCTTTCAGCTGTGGACAAAGCAGCAGTTATAATATCGACAGTTAGCATGCATAATGGCCTATTTCTCTTTAAATTGTTAAATAAGGGTAGCTATTTTCTGAAATTTATCCAATATAGTGCTAAAACAGGTTGTATTGCTAATCAAAAGCAACAACAAGCGCACAGAGAAATGTTAATCCAAGAACGTTATTAACAAAAAAGAAAATCGACGAAGAGAATCGATCATCGTGGTTACGTCATTATGCATGCTCACTAGACTGATGCAAAATTTGAAATTTTGGCTCCACAGTGTTCAAACGGTTTCAAATCGGGTCCTGATTAGCCTCCGAAAGTTTTAACTCATTTGATAAGAAACTGACTTGGCACAAACCATTTGAAGTTTATATGGAAATTACTATGGGAAAACCAAACTTTTTGTTCATTGTCTTCTAGCCTTTTTCCATATTGTACTGTTGACATGTTCTATTGCTATTCTTATAAGAATTTTTATCAGCTACAACTTTGCAGGAAATTGTTTTTCAGCCAAACGTCAAATAAAATAGTTATTAATTGTTTAAGAGATTGCTAATCTTATGGCAAGTTTAAGCAACTGTATTGTCGGCAACACTGTATTCTGCAGTGTGACGTAGTAGCCATGATTTTTGTCCTTTATTCTTCGCGCCATAAACACCAATGTTGCCTGCAGAACAGTTGATTGAGCATAATCATAAGACACCAGTGACTTGAATCATTCATAATTTTTGTAACTGTTAAGCTTTTGGCTGATTAAAATCTCCAGATTTAGATGTTTAAAAACTGAACAAAGGTTAACGTGGTCTAGGTTCAACAATTACTCCAACAAAGGCTGAATTAAAATCGTTGAAACAACACTTGTTAAGCATAGTTGAAGATGCTAATTTCAAATAACAGACTAAGGTGGTTATTTTTATACGATAGAGTGAGGAGATGAAAGTATAGAATTGATAGTTCCGTTTAGAGTACGGTAGTGTAAAAATTGCATATAGAGGAGTAGACAGCGAGCTAGGACAACTTTTAGAAAGGTACACATTGGTTTTTTCATCTCTTTTTACCAAACTCCCCCTTTGGAGAGGCATGGTGAAGGGTTTGTTTAGGTTGTTTCTTTCGGTGTAGGGCACCTGTCATTTATTGAGCCCTGGTGGTGAAGCTGGCGCGGGACTTCCAACAGTTTAAATGTGCACTCACCAGATGGCACTGCGATCACATACGAGTGGTGTCTCCATTGCCTTGTTCGAGGAATTGATTATTGGGATTCCTTGTTAATTAGTTATCTTTGGTATAACGTAGTTACACCACAGACAAACAGACATCACCAGCGAATCCAAACACATAAAGCAACCAATGATACAGACAAAACGTTTGCTACGACTACCATGATGAGGCCATAGCTTGATCTGAATCGAGAAAAGACATAACAAAAAAATCCCATTAACACACGTGTATCATCTTCGGCTTTACTTCGTGAAGCAGCTTGCCAACAATTTACTCGTTTCCTTCTACCGCTCCGAGTGGCGGTGTCATGAAAAAAAATGAAGAAGGTTATATCATTATTGCTTTCCACTTCTGACATATCGTTATCTTATCATTCGGTTCGTTGATCGCTTGTCATTTTGTCCTTTTGGTTTGTTTTTTCCGTCGATCTTGTTTTCCGTGCTGAGCACCAATGCTACCGACGTGCCAGGAAGGCAGCGCCCACACGTGGACCCTACCTATCGACCCATCAACTCATGAACCGGGGACCAACGGCTTTACTTCCCATCCGAAGGAAGGCGTGATCAGAGATGTTATGCCTCAGAACATCCCGGCGGTGCCGACTGGGATTGAACCCAGGCCTGCTGGGGTGAGAGTTGTCATTTTGTCATTTAGAGATATTTTTGATTCCTTGGGCATAACACATTGAATATTTCTCACTGTAAAACATCGTCGCTGAAACACTACCGCCATCTGTTTAGAGCACTGTGCACTCACCACAGGCTACGGTTCTACCAACTAAGAAACATTTAAATTGACCGTTAAATGCGTGTTCGATGATAATCTTACGAGTGCTATGTATGTTTGTCTATGCTTAAAGTATTACATAGAAAATTATGATCATGCCCATAAAAAAATCAAGCTCTAGAATTTCAAAATGTTCTTGTTGCCCAAAATCTATACGGCCGCAAATTTCAATGATTGCAAACCTGATTAGCTCATCACATCCAAAGCTTCACAATTGTTTGAAGGCCTTTCAGTTCAGAGCAGAAGCATGTTGGCATTGATGTGGTGTTGCCTACACTGTATTAATTGCATTATTATCAAACCTGTACTGCGGTTATTCGCATAACAGTTCCACGTAGATTTAAAATCCACAGGACCCTCCCCCCTCTAAACTGTCCACGTAGTTTATGGGCAGCCCCTTATTCCATATGAATTCGGAGCTTTAAGCATAATGATGAATCCTCTGCATTAACAAACTAAAGGTGTGAAAAGTCACCCCACCACAGACAATGGTTAGTTGAAAATCACTTTAGGTAGCGTTCTGAAATTTTCTGGATATTTCATCAAATTGTGCTTTCAGTACAAAAATGTCCTTTACACAAAATGGTACCAATAAAACATCCTTAGCTCTAACTATTTTCATATAAATATACGTTTATGATTAAATGTTCTAAGCTTGATACCAATAGCAAGTGTTTTTTTTCTATTTCAGGTGCTACCTTCGGTACTGGAATCACCGCCATCAAGCTTACCGCCCTCGGACGACCTCAACTGCTGGTAAGTACCAACCCTCCTACTTGAAAAAATAGCATTAAACCGACTGCCGTTTGCTTCAAAATTATTCAACAGCTCCAGCTGTCCGAGGTCATCATGCAGGCCCGTCACTACATGAGGGAACTGGCCGGTGCTACCGGTAACGTCCTAACACATCACAAAACGATCCAAGATCTCGAACGATACCTGAGCAACGTGGCCGACCAGAAGGAAGTTAAGAAATTTTTGGAGAAAGTTACCTCGGATAAAGATGGGTGAGTAGCTTGAATCTGGGCTGTCTTGTATCAACGTAGAGAGAGCGAAGTCAGTGATGAAAAATATTATATCTTCGTCGCACTCCAAGCAGCGCATGACAAATTCCGAAGACAGTCCTCTTTCATTTACATCGTGAAAAAAACTAGCTCAGTACGTTCTCTCTCTCTCTTCGATCTGCCTACCGGTTACTCGGAGAGGATTTAAAACTGCACGTTTTAGTCAGTCTTGTTTGACAAAAATCGATGACCGTTGGAAGCAACACAAAAAACTTAAAATGGGTACAAAACGAATTTGAATCACCAACGTTGAGATTAACAGGCTTCTGTCTTCACCACTGGTCTATCAACGCTAAAGGAAAACAAAAAGCGCTCATAGTGTGGTAACTGGTCTGCTCAAATGCACGTTCGACAGTATTTGCTGTTTTTTGTCCATGCATGATACAAAAAAGAGAAGTGAAGGTAAAACATGCGATAGGATTTGTTCATAGGGATTACTGTCGGCTTCTCTTCGTCAATGACGAATGATGTATGGAAATGATGGTTTATGTACCACGACAATTTATTTTTGGTTTTCGTCAAACGTCACTGACTAAACTGGCCGTTACCAACTCTGGCTTGAATGATTGTTTCACTTCAAGAGATCTCACTAATTGCTGATTCATTTCAGTATTTTGCACTTGTTCCCCTGGTCGGGAATCATCAACGAAGACTGCGAACTGAGTGACACCTTCCGAGTACCGGATCCAGAGTCTGGACAGATGCGTAGATTGATCTCACAGATTCCACCCAAAGAGGAAGAAATGTTCCGCAACATGATTAGACGATTGAACACCATTGTAAAGGTAACGAATCATGTGCGGTTTAGCAATGGTTGCCGATAAAAGTCTGACGAATTTGTATTGCTCTTCCCACAGACTGCCCAAGACCTAGACGTGCGTATAATGATTGACGCTGAACAGACCTACTTCCAGCCGGCCATTTCGCGTATCACGCTGGAAATGATGCGAAAGTACAACACTGAGAAGGCAATCGTTTTCAATACGTATCAGTGCTACTTGAAGGATACTTACAAAGAGGTATGCTGCGTTGTTTTGCTTCTGCCTAGAGAAACATCTAAGTTCCATTGAACTTTCAGGTATGTACCGATTTGGAGCAAGCGAAACGACAAAACTTCTACTTTGGAGCTAAGCTGGTGCGAGGTGCGTACATCGAACAGGAACGGGCTCGAGCCGCTGCTCTGGGCTACGATGATCCAACGAACCCATCGTTCGAAGCAACCACGGAGATGTACCACAAAACGCTGACCGAATGCTTGAGGAGAATCCGGGTACGATTGATATCGATCATGCTGGAAGTTGACACAGTGTACTAACCTTATCTCCTGGTTTACATCGTTTCAGATCCTTAAGGATTCGAACGAAGATCCGAAAAAGATTGCCATTATGGTGGCTTCGCACAACGAGGATACGGTGAGGTTCGCCATCGAACAAATGAAGGAAATTGGAATCCACCCCGAGGATAAGGTCATCTGCTTCGGCCAGCTACTGGGCATGTGTGACTATATCACTTTCCCGCTCGGTGAGTTTAATTTTTTTATATTGCAAAAAACATGCTTAAATGCTTTCCAGTGAAATGTAAAACCACCTTGTTTATGTAATTCCCAAGTGACGCTGTTTGGGCCTCAGATAGAAAAGTCAGTTGAGGCAAGATATTACCGTATTACCAACAATCAATACGAAACTAACGATTTTAAATTGGCTCACCACTTTAGTAGCCTATTGGTCCCAAGCAAACGATTAAAGTACCCCTTCTTGTTGAAATTCTATTACTACACTATGTTTGTTTTGATTCGCTATGAAAGCTTGACAGATAACATCAGGGGTGTGTGGATTCATGCTGAACATGCAGGGGTGAGTGAAATAGCTTGGGACTGCTTGGGACCGTTGTTCTGGTACTGAGTGAGCCAAAAATAATAATGATTTTCTTCGGGACCCAGTGGTCTTAGAGTTACCTCTATGGTATTACCAAGCGTCCCGGCCCGGACCAGATTTTTTTTGGATTCAACATTTTCTCGATTTTACTGGGCATAAAGTATCATTGTGCTTTGCTTGCCGCACAATATGCATACAAATTCATGCATTGTTTGGTATAGAAAGGTCCCAATGAACTGTTGAAGTGCTTCAAAGATCTACAAGTTGAGAGCAGGCACAATCCAATTAACATTTTTAGCTGCAGAACAGCTTAGAAAAAATACATTGCTATGAATGTTATCATACTTAATTCCCATTCTTGACCACTGTGCTGTATGGTGCTTCATTTAAAAAAAAAAGGTATTTTTTGACTTTATTAGAGAGATTTTTAGCCGTTGGCTAGTTCATCTCTATAAAATAGGAGGCCCCACTGTTTCCGATCAATAGTGGTGTGGCTTCTTCTTCCTTCTATGGATGCCGATGTGGGCTGTAGCTCGATGCTTCAGGTAGTCTTTCGTTGTGTACTGGAGAATAATGTTCAGCGCCACGCGCCGAAAGCACTGCTGCTGCTGATGCCGACGACCGGACACATGGTGATTGGAACTGAATCCGATCAGCGTTTGTGGGCAGCCTTGATAGCTATCTGCTTGCGGGGAGTCTTTCTTTGTGTACTGGAAAACACCACCACTCACCTCGTGGTGATTGAATAAACACCGTTTAGTGAGACCGGATGGAATTCAACTTTGAAATCTGTGTTAGGGAAATCGCTTTTCGTAGGCAATCGGTGATAATATTAATTATCATAGCAACAGTTGCACATTCGTTCAGTTTTCAATAGTGACATTTTGAAAAATGATAAAATTTTAAGTTTAACAGATGCGTAAAAATATAATAAAGTGAGTGATAAAAAAAAATTGTATTTGGTCCAGGGGCAGCTGAGTTATTTACGTTCAAAATCTTTCATAAGGTTGTTACATGTTCCATTTTCAGTTTTCACAAAGTGTAACCCTGTATAAAAATAACAGACGTGGTTCTGCCATAGAGGTAATTCTAAGACTAGAAGGTCCCGAAGAAACGTGCTCAACTTTTTGGCTCAGCTCTGGTACCTCTGGTACTCTATTCGGTCCCAAGCTAATCGATTCACCCCTCGAAACATAGGAAAATCCACTAACCCCTCGTTTTATCTGTCAAACTTTCATAGCGAATCAAAACAAACATTGTGTAGTACTAGAATTTCAACTAGAATGGGGTACGTTAATCGTTTGCTTGGGACCAATAGGCTAGTCAAGTAGTGAGCCAATTTAAAATCGTTAGTTTCGTATTGATTGTTGGTTCTACGTCAAAACACAATCTGGTACATCAAAGTTATGCAGGATTTTGAAAAAGATCGGAGCTCCACCGTTGGAGGGGTAATCCCCCGTCCGGCAGAGATGTCCCGTCAGCCAAAAGAAAGTTAAAAGGACCTAAATGTTGTTGTATAGCCCAGCGTCCTTGAGGAAATAAATGTCGCTAAGGTGGAAGGTTCGTCGCCCAGTATGTCCCTAATGCTAATTGGGTAGTGCGTACTGCTCCTGTAGTTGTTGGTATTGCGGGCAGAGTTATAGGACGTGTTCCACCGATGCAGTGGTTCCGCAAACGTAGCACATTCTGTGGAGCTGCGTCCCACCAAAACTATGTGAGATCCTCTTTGTATGGCCTGTCCTAAAACGAGAAACCACCTTCTGGTCCCGTAGTTTCGACATATCCGTCCACTTGCTCGTCGTTCCTTTAACTCTTCGGATGAAGAGGAATTGGAAATGGCACCACTCTGCTTCTCAGGCTTCCCACATTTTGTTGACTATCCATCGCTTTATGTCCTGTAGTAGCACCAACAATCAGGCATGGAAAATCATTTGCATTCATTTCACACATTCACTTACATTCATTTGCCTCTAACTTTTTTCATCGACAACATTCCGCAAAATGATGTATAGAGCTTTTGTATGTTTTGTTATTAGCTACAACTTTTGGATATAACTCAAATCTACATCTCTTATGCATCACGAACTAGACCGCACAGAACTTGTTACTGTTTTTCAGTGAATGTAAAATACATTCACAAATAGTTGAGCACGTTTCTTCGGGACCTTCTATTCTTAGAGTTTCCTCTATGGTAGCACTTCGTTGGTGTAACGGGGGCCAGCTGGTCCAGACCCTGCCAGACTGTCGGCTTGGCTATTTCCTGGGATACCGCAGTGCCGCAACACCGTGTTGGGAGGTGTGGCCTCCACAATAGCCTGTATCGAGGGATGAGTCAAGGTCTCAGTTGTAAGGGCATCAAGCTGTACGAATCGGATAGCACCAGTATGGGCCGGTCTGAAAGTGTTGAAACGGCAACAAAGATGGCTGCAGCTTCGGCGGAGAAAACCGAGCATTGTGGCTGTAGGCTGCTACTCATCGGTGCTGAAATTCCGGCTACTCCAATTCCGACCCCGGCTTGGGAAAGTGATCCGTCCGTGTATATGTGGGCATGGGTTGGGTAGTCCGAGCCTAGCAGTTCGGCTACTGATCTCCTCAGCGCTGCAGAGTTATCTCCAGCCTTGAACCTGCTCTTTATCCGACTCTCGATTTTTGGTGGAAGTATGCGCCAAATTTTGTCTCCGTACCAGTGGACCTTGGCCACTGGGGGGAGCTCCAAATTGGCAGTCATGCGGAGGAGTCTGTTCCCCTCATCGTGGAGAAAGATCCTGTCATTTCCGGAGGTCATTGCTGTAAAGGCAGCGGCTCTCGTTGCAATTGCTGCGGTTATACGATGGCGGAAGGGCAGAATACCCGCTTCGATGCATGCGGCATCGGTGGGCGTTGACGGAAGAAGACCGGAGACAATCCGAACGTAGGTGTTGAACGTTGTTGTTAGTATCTGCACGAGCTTTTCGGTGGCGATGCACGTCATCTCAAGACCGTACAGTACAACCGGTGGAAACTAACGATTTTATATTGGCTCATTACTTGACTAGCCCATTGGTCCCAAGCAAATCGATTAACGTACCCCATTCTAGTCAAAATTCTAGTACTACACAATGTTTGTTTTGATTCGCTATGAAAGTTTGACATATAAAATGAGGGGTTCGTGGATTTTCCTATGTTTCGAGGGGTGCAACGATTAGCTTGGGACCGAAGATAGTACCAGAGCTGAGCCAAAAAGTTGAGCACGTTTCTTCGCGACCTTTTGGTCTTAGAGTTACCTCTATGGTACAGTAGGCGACTATCGATGACGGCTCTTGCAACCCGCAAGCGAGTGTCGCGATTGTTAGACCGATGGGGGTGAGAGATGGTGCGGATCAAGTTGATCCTACTGCGGCAGTCGTTCTTGATCGCCTTAAAGTGCTGCTTGAAGTTGAGGAACCGGTCAAAAAGTACCCCCAGAATACGGACCGTCTTCTTCAGTGGTATGGGCTGGCTTTGAACTTTCATAGGTGACCCGCTGACACGGTGCCGGGATGGACACACGTGGCACCTGACGCTTTTGGTGGCCGAAAGCTGGAAACCTACCGCACTGGCCCACCTGGCTACAGCGGAGACTGCTGCCTGGGCCTTGATTCTGTTACGTGCTGCTGTTGGGCCGGTAGTTACGATAAGTACATCGTCAGTATACACGAAAACGTAAACATTTTTCGGCAGTCCTCCGAAAACTCCGTTCATGGCCACAAGAAAGGGGGTAACGGCAATAACTGAACCTTGTGGGACGCCCGTCTCTTCTCTGAAAAGCTGGGACCTCGTGTTGCCAACTGCGACTCTGAAAGAACGATCGGTCAGGAAATTTTTGTTGAAGTGGACCATGGCTCCACACAGCCCCCAGTTGACAAGCTGCTCTAAGACGAGGGGCGTCCACTTCCTGTTGAAGGCCTTCAATATATTCAGCGAGACGATCTCGGTGTGGAGACCGCTATCGTTGGCACTCTTGAGGACCTCCCCTAATGCTGCGAAGTAAGTTGACGTACCGTACCCTTGACGGAAGGCGTGCTGTCGATGGTCTAGCAGGTTTTCGGCTTCAAGGAAATGCTTTAGCCTCCTGTTGACCATTCGCTCCAGGACCTTGGTCATACAGCATGTCAAGGCTATTGGTCGGAACTTGCTAACTTCACGGATTGTTTCATTGGCTTTTGGGATGGGAATGACTAAGCTCTCCTTCCACGACACTGGATACGAGTTGGTGAGCCAGAGCTTGTTGAAAAACTCCAGCATCTGTAGCTGGCCTAGCGTTGGTAACCTCTTGAGTAGAGGGTACCTGATTTCGTTGGGACCCGCCGCCTTTCCGTTGCTGCAGCGGAAGGCATGCTGCAATTTCTGCCAGGAGAATGCCTGGTTTATGTCCGAGTTCCCAGCGTCTGAAGAAACAGAGAAACTTGCAATGGATGACGTCGAAGGCTTAGCTTTCCGCTTGAATTCGTATTCGTACTTCTCGATGGCTGGGAGATCGGCAAAGTACGTGCCGAGTTCGTCCGCTACAATTGCAGGGTCAGAAACCGCTTCACCGTTAATCTGTACGTGGAGCGGAGTCATGCGCCGTTTCCCACTGAGGGCGTTGACTTGCCTCCATAAGTCGGCCGAAGACTGTGACGAATTCATTCCTTTCAGAAAGCCCATCCAGCTGGTTCGTTTGGCGACACGGATTTCTGGCCGACATTGATTGTGCGACTCATGGTAGTGACGGAGGGCGTCCTCGCGGTCGGGATGTCAGATAGGAAGGTGCTTTACACGGCGAAGTGCTTTACGCCGGGCTTTAACGGCTTTCCTCGTATCTTCATTCCACCAGTGTAGCGCTTTTCGCCCCGGAACGCTGCTGGTCTTTGGGATGGTTGCTGTTGCCGCTTCGTGTACCACTTCTGCAAAGTTTTCAAAGCTGTTCGGATTACGCAGTAGTTACAAGGACTAAAAGGCTTCACCATAGCTATCCCAGTCCGCTTGTTCATAGCGCCATCGGGGCCTCCGTGTTGCCATCGGGAAGATGGCGGTCGAAAGTTGGTTTTTGATGGGGTAGTGGTCACTTCCATAGAGATCCGTGTTCGCGCTCCACTGAGTTTTTCCGGCAAAGCAGCGGCTGATAGCAGAGACGTCGATGGCAGAAGTGTGCCGCCCGTTAAAGTACGTGGGTACTAGAGATGGGCGATCCGCTCCCGAGCTGTTCTAAAGACCCGATTCACTAAAGTGAGCTGATTACCCGCGGTTCATTTTTTAGGAGCCGCTGCTCATCACCTCACTTATATCACGAGGCTAAACCATTCCATCGCCTTATAGCGGAAGTGTTCAGAAAATGACTCATTACTCCACTTACACATTGAACAGCCACCGCGTAAACCAAGATGCACGCCTAATTTAACATATGCCTGCTGATCGATAGCATCAACGGTAAAAGCAAACTTTCAAGCGGCTGTATGGGAGAGACATGTACATGTGTTTCACGATGTTATACTGGTGTTATCCAATGTAGGATTTACGTACCCGGCTCTTATTACTCATGTTACTTCTCCGGCATATGTGCTCTCACGCCTCCTCTCATCATTCTCTGGAAGAGCAGTAGATCCGCACAACAATCGCAAAGCACAATAATCGAAAAGCGAAATGCAGCTCTCCACCGCACAGCTCAGCTCTGGATCCGAATTAGAGATGTGCGATTCGCTCCCGAGCTGTTCTCAAGACTTGATTCACTAAAGTGAGCTGATATTTTTTAGGAACCACAGCTCATCATATTTACATGTTTTACACTATGTAAAATGCCTTCTGATATAATCCAAAGTATTTACGTTCCTGGTTCTTTTTGCTGATATTATTGCTGCAGCATATGTGCTTTCATCTCTCTTCCCATCATTCTCTGGGGGAGCGGAAAATCCGCACAAAAGCAGATAACCGAACAGCAAAATGCAGCTGTCCTCCTCACAGCTCAGCTCCGGATCTGAATCATCGACCCGAACGATTCACTGGGAGCTGTTCGGATCCGTCCAGCTCTTCGGATCTTTGTTTTTTCACTCGATTCTTCACGATTCTGCTCCGGAACCTGATCTGACCCGAGAATGGTGAGAGCAATTTTGCTGGAGAATTAACATCAGCATTAAAATCTGTGTGTAGACTGAATTGCATAGCATGAGAAAAGGCGTCAATTCTATCATCGCGTGTGATATAGTAATAGATTTTTGGCATACATTTTCTGCTTTTACAGATATGGCAATTTTGCGTGCATTTACGCGTGCATACGCGGTGGTTGTTCAGTTGATGCGTTAGTGGCGCTTTCAATTGAAAAGTAGATCAATGTTGTTAGCTGCGGATTTATTGTTTTAGATTACTTTTACTATTTTATGTTGTTTTAAGATATAGCTCTATTGGCTTTTCTTTTACGATTTAGAATTTGTGTCAAAATTTCTATAATTTCAATGTGAGCTGAAGAGCTGTTCAATAGAATCAGCTTACCTTATTGAGCTGGATGGGTCTGATCAGCTCAGTCTGATGAGCTGTTTTGCCCACCTCTAGTAGGCACACCGTCATTCAGAATCATTATGTCTTCCTTCTCGAAAATATCGAACAGGGTAACACCTCGAGGGTCGGAGCGGGGGCAGCCCCAGCTTGGGTGGTGCCCGTTCAGATCCCCAACCAGGATACGCGGTTCCAGTAGTTTAGCTATGGCTTCGCTGAGTTGATCGTGCAGGTTTGGCAGCCGTCCGCATGGCAGGTATGCACATGCGACGGAGGTGTTCGCCGGTGCCGCCAGTTGGACGCCAAGTATGGGAAGTTCGGAGTCCATGTCGACAACCTGGAAAGGTATCGTCTTCAAAACCCCTATGGCCACGGAGTGCCGGAAGTTGTTTCCCCGTTTTGCTGTCCACGTATACTTACCACCTAGAGAGCGGTTCATTTGGTATGTTGTCGCTTTGTTAGTTTCCTGGAGTGCGATGACCCAGGGGGGATCGTCGTGGCAAAGGAGCTCTAGATCACCAATGTGGTTCAGGAACCCGTTAATGTTCCACTGCAGGATGAAGTATACTGGCTTGGGCAGTGCAGGAGTGGGGTACGAGCGCGCCGTGATTGTGGAGCTAGTGTCATCGCGACGGTGACTGCCACTCTGATCGACGGGCAGATCTATATCGTGGGTGTCCGATCCATCGTGATGGTCGGAGCCAGCTGACAGATTGATGTTGTATGCTGAATGAGACATTCCCATTCTTGCTTCATGCTTCATTTTGAAAAAAGGCCACCCTTCAGTTTGGTTTATAACCCTAAACCAAATAGCCTTCTTCAATTAAGTGGCTTTAAATTGACTTTCAAATAGTGATTCACTAATGGCGGAAAGCTCTTACTCGGATTAACTTTTAATACCGTCCCTGTTTGGATGTTTGCTTAGAGTCGTGTTGATTAACTCTGATGTCGACATCAAAGCAACCGGACATTCTTGATCGGGATTTAATCCGAGGATAATACAGGTTGGAGCTTACCACCATAAGAGGATTTCTTCCTTAGACCACCCAAACCAATGCGTTGCTAAAGCTATTTTAGCAACCTCCACCATAACGCAGCAACCGCACCGGGCTGGATGTGTCATCCGAATTTTTTCCGAAAGTTTCTTTAAATTTTCTCCAGAAGCACTCAACGTTTTCCTAGAAGTTCCCCGGATGTTTTTCGACTTTTCTTAGAACCTTCTTCAAACTTCCTCCAGAACAGTTTCTTTCTTCTTTTTGTGGAAGTTAGTTCGGCCTACGTCAGAAGCTTATCAAACATTCCCCAGAAATTTCTTCCGGCTTTCCTGGAAAGGCCGTTCCTAACCTAAATCAAAAAAAGAGCGGGGTATAATCCAAACCGTTTGTGGGATAGTTCTACCATAGAGGTAACTCTAAGATCAGAAGGTCCCGAAGAAACATGCTCAACTTTTTGGCTCAGCTCTGGTACTCTCTTCGGTCCAAAGCTAATCGCTACACCCGTCGAAACATAGGAAAATCCACGATAGTGTAGTACTAGAATTTCGACTAGAATGGGGTACGTTAATCGATTTGCTTGGGACCAATAGGCTAGTCAAGTAGTGAGCCAATTAAAAATCGTTAGTTTCCACCGGTTGGTTCTACAGTTGTTCGTTTATTAGGGTAGTCGAAAAGTTTAAATTTTCGTCCACGAGAACGGCAAAAATATAAAATTAATAAAAATAGTAAATACTGAAAAATACTGATTTTTAAAAACCTTTCATACCGATAAGCTTGAAAACAATCTGGCAACGCTGAACCGTGCATCACCAGATACGCTCGATGAAACTTTGCTTCCATGACGCACCAACCCTTGACACTGTTATGTTTCAAAACGAAATGCCTGCCATAACTGATGAGTTTACCCATTTGCAGGTCAAGCCGGCTACTCTGCCTACAAGTACATCCCGTACGGTCCGGTAAACGAAGTGCTACCATACCTATCCCGGCGGGCCCAGGAGAACAAGGGTGTACTGCAGAAGATCAAGAAGGAGAAACGCTTGCTGCTGAGCGAAATCACCAAACGACTAGCCAAGGGCCAACTGTTCTACAAGCCCAAGGGTAACTATACGCCGATCTAAGATGTTCAGCCTAGGAATTAGAATGAAGAATGAGATCAAAGTTACGTCCCATGGTAAAACATATAAACACACATACATAAACAAAATAAAAAGCAACACATTTAACTGGGCACAGGCTGCATTACAGAATCGGATTTCCATCAGGTCGCCGGAAGCGGAAATAAGTGTGTTGTGATTGTACTATTAATTGTACTGGCAAAACCCCTTCTAGAGCCTTGCTGTTAGGAAGCGGTATCGAAATGTACTAGCGATGAGAATGTATCAAAAAAACAACGCTTTTTAGAGCAGAGGAAATACAGTTGGACAGTTTCTCAAATTATGTTAGTAAACAAATGATGATATTTAAAGCTCATCCCTTAGCCCCTCGGAAAGACGGCAACTCAAAGTGAAAACTTTCCGGTTTTCAACAAATGGCTGCGTTTATTCAAGTGAAGGAAACAGAATCGATGATTTGTGATTGTAATTTTAGTTTTAGTAACTGATACGTTTTAAGGCGAATAATTTTTAATAAACGAACAACGTTTTTTACGTTTAACCGTTAGCATTGCAGCGTTTTTGGTACGAAAGCACTGCTGAGCCAAGTGGTATTATGATTTAATATTTGTTTAGTAAAACCTTTTCATTAGTTGAGCAAAAGGAACACGAATCTGATACTCCTCGATAAGTTTACAGTTCATGCACCAGCAATAGTCCAATTAGTAGGAAACACATTATTATGACATACACTAAACGAGCAAAGAAACTGCCTCAGGACGACAAATAGTAGCGAAAATTACCATCAACCAACCAAAACCAAAACTAGAAGATACGTTCCGATGATGTCCTGGAAAAAGTGTCGAACTAGTGAAGTGGTATTTATTAGGTGTTCAAAAAAAATGAATCTCTAGGTGTTTATCTCGAAATTGAAAAAAAGCGGAAACGTTCTCTTGTTCGGTACGATGGCGTTCTATAAAATTGGTTACACAAGGTAATTGGTCACCGGGAATTTTTCAATCCTTGCTCATTGAACGACCAAGAGTAATGTTATTCAATGCACTACCTCGTATATTGAGGTCACGCTTGGTGAAAACCGTTTTCAGATTGTTATTCGGTCACATTCAAATGGATAAATCTAACCTTATATTCAAACACTTACGAGTGGTATTTTTTTCGTGATATAATTTCTATGATTTCCCGGCCCTGGATTGTTCTTTCACGTTTCGGGACGTGATTCGCTGCATTATTTGAAGGGGAAAAGCCGACCGATGATGTAACCCTTTTTATAATCGCAACAATAAGGGAACGTCCCTTTTCCCGTTTCCCAAATTTCAACAATTTCCTTTTCATGAAATCAAGAAACCAAATAAAAAGAAACCACACAAAGGAACGCGCACTTGATGAAAATGACTCTGATTACAATTAATGATGGGAGAAAAGTTGACAATAAACATTGAAAGTGAAAACAAACAAAACAAAACCGTAAAAAGAAACAAAACTATCGTATAACCGAAACCAATTGAAATGTGAACGGATATTACAATTAACAAAACAAAAGTCTTGAACTATGTGAATGTATAATGTACGTTATAAGTTACTGAGCAGGCATTAGATAACAATGTGAACCGCTGTCGAAGCGCCTTTAGGCCACCTTGGGTGTTGTTCGAAAGGTGACGCAAGGTTGACAACCACATACACCCCCACACACACATATATATTATTAATTACAAACTACTATTACTGCATACCTATAATAAAACGAGAGGAAAAACACAATACAACACAAGCTAGTGATGCTGAAAAACTGAAACATATTAACGAAAGGGTAGACGCGCCGGAATCTACATTCGCGAGGCCCTATTTCGATTACGTGTTATAATAGGTATAGATATCCCGTGGCAGCAAAACAAATTGGAAATTGAAAGTGGTAAAAAAAAACATGTTCTAATTGTAAGATGTGTAAAATATTAAAAATCAAAATAAAATAAAAATTGAACAAATGATTGGTGTCGGGTCTGTGTGGATGGTAGTTATCATATTACACGTTCCTTGATGTTTTCTTTCGATCACATTTGCGCAAAACTGCTACGTACAAAATACAAAGTTTTGACAATGGATAAACTTAAGGTAAAAGTCACCTAGTGAGTAAATACATATCTCAACAATTTCTCACGTCTTGGCATATGTCATTGACAGGCACGTTTTCAAAAAGATCATCAATATCGACTCTCGCGTCCCGTGGATGACGAAAGATCTTCGCTTGTTGAAAAGAACTAAGAAGGCTGCTCTCAGAAGATTTACTAAATTCCGCACACTGTCGCTGAAATGCTACTATGTCAGACTCAACCACGAGTAGGGCTTTTGATCTAATTTCTGTCCTACTAAGCACAACCCGCGCTTTACCTCTCTTTTCTGAACGAGTTTAAACCAAGGTTGCAAAGACTCATTTCAGCTAAAATAATTTTTTTCGGAATAATAAAACCAAAAGATGGTATGATGGTATGTTTTACTTGTAACTTACAAGAAGAGGTTACAAAGTATGCGTTGGAAACATAAAACCTGTAAATTTTGCTTTCTATGAGTCACAATCAGCGATTTGCTGATCGCTGAGTGAGTGAGTGAGTTTGTACAAAATCGCTGATTGTGACTCTCATGAAGTGAAATAAACAGGTTTAATATGTCAAACACATTCTTTGCAACCTCTTCTTGTATCCTACCAATTCAAAATTTGATCATGGCATCTAATTATTTCATAATTTAGAAAAACATTGTTTTAGCTGAAATGAGTCTTTGCAACCTTGGTTAAAACAAAAAATGGAATATTCCTGTCAAAGATGACTTCTAAATTTATTCACCTTTCCATACGTACACTGATAAAAATTCGAAGATTGTTTTTATGTGTCCCACACATGAATTTTTGCAATGTGATCAACAATTGATATCTATGTGTCGGACACATACCTAATATGTGTATACATAAAAGCCATGTGGTTACACATACTATTCATTTGACTCATAAATTTCATGTGTGCTTCTGGGTAGATTCTGCTTATGTGTGGTCACATAACAATCATGTGGAATTTTACACAGAAATTCGCCAATAAAAATGTGTGGAATTCTATTAGTGTACCGTTGGATTTGATAAAGAGTCACAAATTATTGAGATATTGTTTAAAATCTAATACTGCTTCTTGATTTTATATTCGTTCTACGAGTTTCAATTCCGTCCTAACACATTGAAACGCCATTAGATTTTCTCCGTACTACGGATAAACGTAGATGAAGGGGATTCGCTAGGAGTGCTTCTTTTGTTATGAGAACAATGAGCGTAAATATTCAAACAATGCGCTCTAATAGGATGTATGTTGTAGCTAATGAACTAACACATAGGAAAGAACCTAATATTGCTTTGTGCACGGTGAAATCATAGATATTATTGATGTTTTCTGATCGATAGAACAGAAATGGGTGATTACGACGAAGTAGCTCTCTACCCTATAAGCGGTAAAGTCATCTCTGTTTTCAACGCTATCAAAGGAGGATTCAACGGCGGCTAAAATCACACCCGAATTCCTTCTGGAACTTCGTAAATGAGCAACGCAGGGAAGTCGGCTTACCCTCTTATATGATTTTCAATGGTAAAACTGCTGGCAATCAACAAGACATTTGCTAGTGGGGGTTATTCCGAGAGTCGAAGTGACTTTTGTCACTACTGAAGTGAGAAAAGTCACGTCGTGGTGACGTGACTCTCTGTGCAAATCAAATGAAGCGTCACGTCACCACGACGTGACTTTTCTCACTTCACTAGTGACAATAGTCACTTCGACTCTCGGAATAACCCCCAGTGTGTTTGAAGACGAGCAACTCTCCACTAATCTCATTACTTCCGCGGCCAGTAATGTTCCTTTGGTCAACCAAACGCTTAGCGTTGTCGACGCCACTACAGATACGATTTCTAGAGCAGCATCTAAATTTAAGGCTTCAGCCCGATGGTGTTCCGTCGATTATTCTTTAGAAGAACATCATCCAGCGGCATCTTTCCGTCTTTCTGGAAGACTGCGGAAGCAAACGCGACGTTAACAACTACCGGGGAATCACGTCGCTGAGTGCTGTATCAAAACTTTTGGAATTGGTTGTCATAGACTCCATAAATGCGCATTGCAAGCAATATGTAAGTATAGATCAAAGCGGATTCATAACTACGAACTTGCTGTGCCTAACGTCTTACATCACAGATAGTTTGATTGCTTGGACCCAGACGAACGTTATTTACGCAGATCTTACGGCAGCCTTCGATAAGCTGAACCACGAAATTGCGATCGCTAAGCTTGATAGGCTAGGGATCGGTGGAAATCTTTTGAGATGGTTTCATTCATACCTCATGGAGCGCCAACAGACAGTAACTTTGGGTACTTGTCGCTCAGCAAGCTTCTGCGCAAAGTCCGTTATACCTCAGGGTAGCCATCAGGGACCATTGGTATTTCTCCTTTACTTCGACGACGTTCACCATGTTATCACAGGGCCACGATTATCGTTTGCAAACGATCTGAAAGTTTTTCTGCGCATCCGCCCACTCGCCGACTGCCGTTCTCTCCAAAATCAGATTGACATCTTTGCTGACTGGTGTAGTCTAAACCGACTGGTGGTCATTATTAGATTTCATTGCATTGCTTTACAATATTGCTGTATAAAGGTGAATACAGTCAGCAAAATAGCTTTTATACCGCTATGCGTCCATGTTTTAATTGCATGCTTTGTAAATGCTTTATAAACGACATATTAGATTCATTATTGCGCAACATTGGTTCAGTCTAACAACAAGACAAAAGCTGTAGAGTATTTGTTACCGTTTCCGCTATCCAACTCGCGGCCTTCTGTTCAACCCCAAGCGCACCCTTTTTTTTATTTGTGTTCTAAATCGTAATCAACGATCACATCACTCACGACAACAAATTTATTGATTTATTTTACCCAGCATCCTTTCCTTGGAAACCGGAGAGGTGAAGAGGTAGAATTCGTCTTATGTTAAACAACGATGAATTGGAATGATTCCCACTGGACCTTGGGATGATTGGGTGTGCCGATAGGTATTCAGTTTCAAGTAAGCTTTTATTAAATATTGAGCAGCCCATTTGATGTACATATTCTAGTATAGCTCAGATGGCAAGGCAAGCGGCTGGTGATTGGAAGGTACATGTTTCGAAACCCATGCAACGAACATGTATGTTTATGTAATATTTTTTTTTTCTAGTAACTGTGGGGGTGCGTGATTCGTCAGAAATAATGAAAACAATCATTCAAAACTTCGTCAAAATTTCAAAGGCACAAATGTCAGCTTCCACAAAACATACAAATTTGAAATTGCTACTCTCTGTTTGTAGTAGCACAGCAAACAAGGAGTAGCAATTTCAAATTTGTATGTTTTGTGGAAGCCGACATTTGTGTCTTTAAAGTTTCACGCTAAGGCTTCCTAAGAGTATCACCTTAAAGAAAAGACAACTCTGTGTCTGTCTTCTACCATTCTTTATTTTCGGGTAAATTTTTCTGTAGTTTAACAATCGTTTAATAAATGTACAATAGTGTCTAATTTAAACGTTACTTCACATGATAATCAAGTGTATACATCATCGTTGTTTAAGGAACAAAGATGTCCAATAAACGCTGAATAATAAAACATTTGATCGAATAAGCTCTGTTACAACTCATGGAAGTTGAATAAAAGCTTCTTGGCATACCTTAGCCCAACACCATGTTGTGGTTGAATAAATTCTCCAGATTTGTGTGAACTGAACAGAACTTAAGTTATTAATAACTAATTATTAGAAATTGTACAAGTATTATTAAGCATGCAGTTGAATAAAATCATCAAGAAGTTGTTTCTTCAATAGGCGATTGTTTGTTGGGTAGAACATGGTAGAACGCTCTCTTAAGGAACGTTCCAGGCGGTCTTTTGCAGAACTGCTTAAGACTGCCAAGTCATCGACGAGTCTGACTCTGACTTGGCTGATGAGGGAATTCCTTTCAGTTTTCCGGAAGTTTCTTCACGGAAACGAAGACACATCCGTTCACGGATAGTCGCTGATCAGGAACATCAAATCAGCTTGCACAAATCAAGGATTGGTGAAAAAAGAAAGTTTCAACTGCTCCTGGTTTCCGAAGACTTGACTATACTCAGGATTTTCCACCACTCCCGGGGACATCCAAAACCCCTGATGTTCCATTTTTAAGAACAGAAGTCCCTTCTTCATCTGGGTTGTTCTGATTTGATGGTATTTAACGGTATCCTCGAGTACTTCGATATTTTTGATCCTCTCAAAAGCATTGTTCTGGCAATGCTTCCTACAGTTAAGACCCTCTTGAAGCAATTGACATTGAAGTGGCCAGCAATCATATCCTTCGATGGATAATTTTCCAGACGAGGTCGGGGATTTGATCACTGTTCTACAGTGGAATTGTCGAAGTCTTATTCCTAAATTAGGGTCGTGTAAGTTTTAGTTCACAATAATGATTGTGATGCATTTGCCTCTGTGAAACATGGCTCTCTTCAGATATTGATCTTCCTTTTCAAGATTTTAACATTATTCGACTGGATCGTGAGAATTCCCGTTGAGGAGGGGTACTTTTGGGGATCAAAAAGTGCCATTTCTTCTATAGAGTGAATCTTCAACAATTTCCAGGTATTGAAGTTGTCGCATGTCAGGCTATTGTTAAAGGCAAGAGCCTTTGTATTGCTTCTGTGTATATTCCTCCCCGAGTTTCGATTAACCGAAAACAACTTTCAGATATCTGTTCAGTTCTTCCTACTCCACGGTTGATTATGGAAGATTTTAATTCCCACGGTCAGGCTGTGATAACTTCAATATGACAATTCTAAACAATGGAGAAGTAACACGTTTGGCTGGACCATCCTCGAATGGTAGCAGATTACTCTTACACTTTGCTCTAATTCATTATCGTTGGATTGCACGTGGACTGTAATCCAGGATCCCCACTGTAGTGATCACTTGCCGATCAAAATTTCGATTGCCGACCGGTTCCAGGAACGTCTTTTCGTAGGAAACCTCAATCCCCTTGATGGGACCAGCAATGTACAGAGGTTTATCGTGAAAAGTCCGACGCGTTTAAGCTTTTCCGGAAACGTGGAACACCCGAGCATTTTGAAGCGTACTCGGCTCTTGAACGCGAACTCAAGAGCCTCTTAAAAGCCAAGAAACGTGGATACTGGAGGCAATTCGTGGACGGATTATCGCGCGAAACATCGATGAATACGCTTTGGAAAGCGAGGATGCGTAACCGGTCTTCAAACAACGAGAGCGAGGATTACTCGGATAGTTGGATTCTCAAGTTCGCGCGAAAAGTATGTCGTGATTCCGTGCCGGCACAGATGATTCCTCGCCAAACGACGAATTCAGTAGGCGAGATCAGCCAGCCTTTTACAATGCTGGAGCTCTCACTCGCGCTCCTTTCGTGTCGCAATTCGGCTCCGGGGGCTGATAGGATCAAGTTCAACTTATTGAAGAACCTCCCAGAAGTCGCTAAGAGGCGCATGTTGAACTTGTTGTGTCGGTTCCTGGAGCTCAATATTGTTCTAGATGATTGGAGGCGAGTGAGAGTTATAGCCATTATAAAACCTGGAAAACCCGTGTCAGATCATAACTCGTATCGTCCCATCGCGATGTTATCGTGCATTCGAATTTCGCCTGGACAAATGGGTTGAGATGAACCACCTACTTTCAGATAAAATCAATTTGGTTTCCGTAGGGACAAGGGAACGAACGACTGTCTCGCGTTGCTTTCCACAGAAATTCAGTTGGCTTTTGCAGAATGGCTTCTGTGTTCTTGGATATCAAGGGGGCTTTTGATTCAGTATCAGTTGAAGTCCTTTCAGACCAACTCCTGTGGCCTTGTGGCCTTTCTCCATTAATTAATAACTTTTTGTACAATTTGCTGCCTGAGAAACATATGAGCTTTTTTTCATGGAAACTCTACAGCTTCACGATTTAGCTACATGGGTCTCCCCCAGGGCTCATGTTTAAGCCCCCTTCTGTATAATTTCTACGTCAGAGAAATTGACAATTGTCTAATTGACAACTGCACGTTGAGACAACTTGCAGATGACGGCGTAGTGTCTATGACAGGGCCCAAAGGGGTCGACCTGCAATGATCCTTACAGGATACCTTAGACTATTTGTCTACTTGGACTATCCATCTAGGTATCGAATTCTCCACGGAGAAAACTGAGTTGGTCGATTTTTCTAGGAACCATACCCCAGCACAACCTAAGCTTCAACTTTTGGGTAAGCTGATCACTCATTCCATGTCTTTCAAATATCTTAAGGTCTGGTTCGATTCCAAATGCACCCAGAGATCCCACATTGAGTATTTTAGACGAAAAGGATCAACACAGGATCAATTTTCTCCGAACAATTACCGGAACGTGGTGGGGAGCTCATCCGCAAGATCTTCTAACGTTGTACCGTGCAACGATTTTATCGGTTTTAGAGTACGGTAGTTTGTTGTTAGTTTTGATTTATCTATGACGCAAGAGATTCGCGGAATCCCAGAACATCATCGTTCCATGATTGTTCCGTCATTATACACTGCAAAGTTTGGCTAAGTTGATTCCGCAAGATCGTTCTTCACAGATGGATCACTAATAGAGGCGTTCGCTGGATTTGGTATTTTTAACGAATTTCAAAGCGCCTCTCGAAAGCTTCAAGCTCCTTGTTCCGTATATGTTGCTGAGCTGGCGGCAATACATTATAGAAACAATCGCCTCACGTGCACCAGATCATTATTTTATTTTTACGGATAGTCTCAGTTCTGTCGAGGCTATTCGTTCCATGAGGCCGGTAAAGCACTCCTCGCATTTTCTCATGAAAATATGAGGAGCTTCTAAGTGCTTTATCTTTAAGGTCTTTTGTCATCACTCTTGCATGGGTCCCATCTCATTGCTCGATTCCGGGCAATGAGAAGGCGGACTCACTTGCTAAGGTGGGCGCTATGGAAGGCGATATTTACGAGCGTCAAATCGCCTACAATGAATTTTTCTTCATTTATCGTTATCGTTAAAATAAATGGAGTGAAGGGAATTTGGGACGATGGCTATACTCGATCATCCCTAAGGTGTCGAAGATTCCTTGGTTCAAAGGGTTGGAGGTGGGTTCGTGTGATGGCTCGCCTCATGTCCAATCACTGTTCGTTAAACGCTCACTTGTTCCGTGTTGGGCTGGGGGACAGCAATCTCTGTGAATGTGGACAAGAGTACGCAGATTACATTATTTGGTCATGTTCTGAGCACCGTGGAGTCAAATCCAAGTTGTACGATTCCCTTCGGGGTAGAGGTAGACAACCTAATGTTACAGTTCGGGATATTTTGACTAGACGCGATCTCGAGTAAATGCAACTGATGTATGTTTACTTTAAGAATATTAACCTTAGATTGTAAGTTTGATTAACTGCCGATACTCGCATAATTGTCCCATCTTTGCTTGATTTCCTATTCATATGGGACAGTTATGCTTTTATGGGCAGTTAACCTTGTGTTTAGTTTGTATTTTGTACGTATCGGTGTTTTCAAGATGAATAGAAATAAGTTCATGTTTTAGGTTTAATTAAATATTTGTATCTTAAATCTGTGATGCCAAAACTATACCTCTACCCTGGTGCAGTATGGACAGCGATTTTTCGCTGGTGACTTGGCCCTATGACCCCCTTCTGTGCTTGAAAATGAAATGAAAATGAAAATGAATTAAATATTTGTATCTTAAATCACATTTCAAACCTCCTTCACCCTTTTCCCATCCAAAATATTGTAAATCTCCACTAACCTCGAGACAACCGCGAGTATTCGGTCCAGTTCCTTAAACTTTATATATAAGACATTAATAATGTATAACGAAAATGATAACGCCAAACCCGTGTTTAGTTCAATATTATGAATGCAAATTCAGTAATCAAATTGATTTCATTGAAAACAGGATTACCCAAGTAACCATCAAGCCCGCTATTCGCCCTTTTTGGAATATAAAGCTGATATACGACTAATAAAAAGTATGGAAGCCCTATATTAGCCTTATATTGCACAAGAGGCGATTACGCTATTAGCGGGCTTGGTGGTTTGATTTCAATTTGATCTCCAGTTTTGCTCGGGTAACGATACAGTATTAAAATTTGGAACGACATTTTTGAAGAACGCAAATCGCAAGACGGATGAAGACGCATTCTGTGCAAAGCGTTATTAACCAAAAAAAGATATGTTGTTAAATAAATAATAGGCCATTCTGGGCCAGAAACTTAGCATAATTGGTTCGGTTTTCTTTTGGGTCCCATTTACAAAAACTTAGAAATTTAATTTCTTACAACATACATTTATTACAAAAAGATCCCGTTGAAGAGCGTGTCATACAAAAACAACTCCTAACGTTTCTTGTTTGCTCTTCTGAAATGATTGTTTCATTTGTTTTAAACAATAAGTACCAACCTAGAGGGTACGGTCTATCAATCGTAGGAGAGCACGTCGTAGGATAACAATTTAATCATCAATAATCAGCAGATAACTGATCTCTCAATTATTCCCAATCAATCTATAATTGTGCATTTTTCTCTCTCTCAACAGTTATCACATTTATCATTTCATTGTGCCTATGCGGTACAGGAATATTCAGTTCAGTTAATTGTAATTGCACAAGACATAGCAGCAAAATTTTGAAAACAGTCTGCTCTAATTGACACACCGGAATAAGTAGAAATACCAGTAATACGAGATTGGAATGATTCGATTTGAACTTTAACGTAGAACGTGAACGTAAAAGGCAATATGTTCGTATTGTAGAGATTAGCTATTTAAACTTAATTCAAACTTAAAGGGCGATTTGTAGTTAACTTCTATCAGACACGTCTAGCTTCGGAACGAAGAGTTGAGCATCACAACTTCTTCCTCGCTGTCGTCCTCGGTATCGGTGAGCGGATCCCGTTCGTCATCGTAGTAAGGTTGGAGTTCTGTAAGCAAAAAGCAAATGATGATTGTGAGAGAGATGCTTTGATTTGGGTTGGAAAAGTGGCTTAACTTACTCTTGGTCGGCGCTCGGAACAGTTCCGTCTCGCCATCCTCCTCGTCGTCCTCGAAGAGGCGCTTTGACTGTTCACCTTTCTGGGGCAGCATTGAGAAGCTGTAGTAGTAGCGAGAGTTTCTCCTACGGGATTGGATGTACATAAAGCACACCACACCGCAGGCAATTATGGCAACCGAGACACAACCAGCCAGCATGACGAACACCAATCGGGGCATTCCGAGAACCCGTTCATCCCGCTTCAGATGGAATATCACACCGTATAGATCACCTCCAGTTGAGGGATCGAGGTGAAGGGTACTGTAATGTATTCAAATTGACATTAGGGGACTCAAAACCTATAATAACACAAATGAAGCCTTACCGTTGATCGGCTGTGTACCCGGAGACCTTTGCATGTAGTGTAATATCTGTTTGCTTGACACCGTCGAGCTGGAATTTGCCGAGGTAATCCGTAAATGTACTAAGATTGGCAATTTGGTTTTGGATGTACACCTTCGAGTTTGCAAGTGGGTGGTTGGATTCGTCCAGAATCAAACCTGAGATTCTCCCAATGGGTTCTCCCCCATCCATGGGGAAGATTTTCATTTTTTCACGCGGTTCCAGCACTGAGAAACTGTCGTGCCGTTCGGGTTTCACGGTGGATACGGTGGGTTGTTTCGGATGAAGTGGCTCTACGCTACCTTCACCCATGGGTCTAGCCGACTCTTGCATGACGACGTCGCCCATGTCCAGAATTTGATCCTGGTTCAACGTGATGGACATTATTCTCGAGGTGTAATTTAGGCAACTGAATTCGATTTCCATCGACCCGGAGGGAAGGACCACGCGGAAGTGTGCTAAATTGGGAGTGACCTTATAGATGAGGTTGTTGCCTCGAACTTTGAGGATTGCTTTCCGCAAGGCTTTGCCCTTGGTATCCCGCACGTAACCTTTGATGCCGGTATCGATTAGTCGCAGGAAGTTGGTCATCCGTTCAAGGTGCTGACGCCACACGGTGGCAATCTCAGCTTCCTGCGGCATTTTGCAACATCCCAGCTGCATAGTGAACAGAGGCACCTTGTAGAGGCTGTGTAACTGATTGGTTAGACGCTGGATGGCATCCGCTTGATGGAGGCGGGCGGTAGATTCCGGACACTGCGCGTTGGACACTACAGTATATTTGTGACCTTTGATTTTCTCAGCGAACCGAGGATAGATAGCCACCTTGTCGTCCGTGTTTGGGTAGCTGTGGTGGAAAAGTTTTTGATTAATATACCGTCAAGTGTCATAATTCTGCGCAGTTTTTAAAAGTTGAGAAGTTCCAGGCAAAATAGCGGAAAAAAAAGAATTTTTGAATTGATCTTCACCGATTTGTATGGTCAATGATTCAATTTTTTGCTAAAATTCGGCCATTTTGAATATTATAGAATTTTGAAAATTACATCCTTATATATATAGCGGAAAGTGAGGCAGTTTATCCACCTTAAGAAAAACACCACTAATGCAACACAATTCTGTGGAAAATTCGAATAATTTTTAACCAAGATAGTTTCAATCCCTGTTTACATCATGCTAACAAATTCAATATTAAAAGTAAAATGTTGAATCTAATGAAAGAAGATTTAGAAAATGTTCGTTTTGTAACCGAAATAAAACTGTTGGGGTAAATTGAGGCTTTGTAGAGGGACAACAATGAACAGTGTTAGCAGAAAAAGATTTGAAAGGAACACTTATGTTCGTAGACGCCAGTTTCAGAGGACTGGAGATCTGGGCAAAAAACGTGAAATGACCGATCTGTACAGGCAGATTGTTTCCAGAATGGACTTACTCAGAAATGAAAGATTCGGGCGTGTTGTCCAGAATCTGGACGACCGCTCCAGACCATTGTGGAAGGTAGCCAAGGTCCTAAAAACTCATCCCAAACCCGTTCCACCTCCCAGAGACGAAAATGATGACGATCGGCTTTTAATCACCCCACAGAAAAGCAAATGCGATCGGCGAGTATGTTGCTTCATCGCATTTGCTTGGCTCGACTATCTAAAGTTCGCTCGAAGATCAGGTCGCGCAATGCGCTCAAAACCTAGATTCCTCGCCTTTTGTTGTACCTCTTCTTCTTCATCGTCTTCTCCATTCCTTTATTTAACGGCGGTCTCTGTTCCGCAATCTAGTGCCAATCACCGACGGACATCGATTGTCATCCATTGCGGCAATCGAAGGGCTGCGGAATTGTCCTCGGCTCTGAACTTCGCCTTTATTCGGCTGTCGATGTTTGATGCGGGAGATTGTCAACTCTTATCTCCGTACCAGTGAATCTTGGCCACTGGGAGGAGCACTGCGTTGGAAATAGTACGGAAAACTCTGTGCTCCTCGCTGAGGAGGCAGATTCTGTCGTTTCCGGCGGTATTTGCTGAAAATGCAGCGGCTTTGTTGGCAATGGCTGCGTAGATGTGGTACCGGAATGGGAGAGTACCGGCTTCGACACAGCTGGCATTGGCTGACGTCGAGGGCAGAAGACCGGAGATTATGCGCGTGTAGCTATTGTACACCGGAGCGAGTGTTTGTATTGCCTTGTCGGTGGCAATGCAGGTCAGCTCGAGTCCGTACATCAGCCGGCTGTCTACGATGTCCCGGGCAACACGGAAACGTACTTCTCTATTGTTGGAGTGGTGGGGACGGGAGATTGTGCGGATGAGGTTGATCCTGCTGCGACAGCTGGCCTTGACCCCTTGAAAGTGCTGTACAAATCTCAGCGACCGGTCAATGACAACCCCCAGCAACTTCACAGTTCGCTTCAGTGAGATGGCTTGATCACCAGAAAGATAGGAAGGTCCGCAGACCCGATGCCGGTACTGGCAAACATGGCACCTAACGCTCTTTTCAACAGACAGCTGCAAATCTTTCGAAGCGGTTACGATTAGCACGTCGTCTGCGCACACGAAGATGTAGATGTTCGTGGGTAGCTGCTCGAAGGCACTGTTCATGGCTACCAGGAACAATGTGACAGCGATCACTGAACCTTTAGGAACGCCATTTTCCTCGCAGAAAGTGCGGGATTTGGTATTACCAACCGAGACTCGGAAGGATCTGCCAGTCCAGGGTTAACTCCGTATGAAGACCGTTATCCTTGGCGTCCTTGAGAAGCTCTCCTAGCGTCGTAAAATACGTGAAGGTACCGTGGCCTTGCCGGAATGCGTGTTGTCGATGGTCTAAAAGGCCGCTAGCTTCGAGAAACTGCTTCAGGCGTCGGTTGACCATCCGCTCGAACACCTTTGCCATGCAGCAGGTTAGCGCAATGGGCCGGAACTTCACTACGTCCCATGTTGGCTCGTTTGTTTTGGGGATGGGAACAACCAATGCTCTGGATACGAGTCTGTCCGCCAAAGCTGGTTGAAGAGTTCCAGCATTTTTACTTTACCCAGAGTATGCAGGTTCTTGAGCAGCGGGTAGCCAATCTCGTCTGGGCCGGCTGATTTCCCGTTGCTTCTACTAAGCGCGAACTGAAGCTCCTGCCAGGTGAAATCTTGGTTGATCCTCAGGTTGTTCATGTCCGGAGAAACGCGAAAATTGCTTACGGACGAAGTTGATGGGTTTGCCGTTGGAAGGTTGCCTCCTATTTGGAAATTGTAGAGAGGTCAACGAAGCAATCGCCAAGCTTATCTGCATCGGTTACGGGGTCGAAGACTGCAGCGCCGTCTACCTGGATATGCAGGGTGGCCGTGCGGCGCTTGCCACTGCGAGCGTTGACCTTACCCCAGAGTTCCGCCGAAGACTGTGAGGCGTTTATGTTTTCAAGGAAGTCCGTCCAACTGGATCGTTTGGCATTTCGGACCAATTGGCGACACTGGTTGTGCCCTTTCCGAAATATTTACCTCGAGTTGGGGTAGCTCTTCGTTCCAATCAGTATAGTTCAATCGGCGTTTTTGCGAAGGATTGTCTGTTGAGGTTTGATTGTTTGATGGTGAAGATGACCCTGATTTTGAATTATCTTCCGTTTGTTGAGAAGCAGTTGGAAGTTGCACTACCCACGGAAGAGTAGCTTGGCGCAGCTTCTCTTGAAGATGGCAGGAGGGACATCCGTTCCGCCATAGGTAGTATTGCTGCAGCGGCACTAGGTACTGCAATCCCGGACCGAAGAAATGACTGGTTTGACGGCGAATGCAAACTGTTAGTAGAGGAGAAGAATGCAGCACGGGCGAAAATGCTGCAGCACCGCACGAGATTGAATGTGGAGCGATACAGACAAGTGCGGAACAGATAAAACTCGGTTTTCCGAAGGAAGAAGCGTCAGCAGGAAGACCGAGATCGCGAGGCGATGGAAAATCCGTACCGCGTAGACAACACACGGAAGTTCTACGAGAAGCTAAATAGTTTGGCCGATATGTGCAAGGACTTGGACGGTAACCTTCTCACGAACGAGTGTGAGGTGATTGAGAGGTGGAAGCAGTACTATGACGAGCACCTCAACGGTGAAGCAGCAGAAAACGAAGGTGGCACGACAACATACCTTGGAGCACGCGCACAAGACGACAGGCTACCCCTGATTTTCAAGAAGTTGAGGAGGAGATCGGTCGGCTGAAGGACAACAAAGCAACTATGGTGTAGATCAACTACCAAGTGTGCTATTAAAATACGGTGGTGAAGCACTGGCTAGAGCGCTACACTGGGTAATTGCCAAGATTTGGGAGGAGGAGATATTACCGGAGGAGTGGATGGAAGGTGTCGTATGCCCAATTTACAAAAAGGGCGACAAGTTGGATTACTGCAACTACCGCGCGATCACACTGCTGAGCGCCGCCTACAAGGTACTCTCCCAAATTCTATGCCGCTGCATGTCACCATTTGCAAAAGAGTTTGTGGGGCAATAACGGGCGGGATTCATGGGTGCCCGCGCTATCACGGACCAAATTTTCGCAATTTGGCAGGTTCTGCAGAAATGCCGCAAATACAACGTGCCCACACATCATTTGTTCATCAATTTCAAATCCGCATACGACACAATCGATCGAGATCAGCTATGGCAGATTATGCACGAGTACGGATTTCCAGATAAACTGACGCGATTGGTCAAGGCGACGATGGATCGAGTGATGTGCGTTGTTCGAGTATCGGGGACACTCTCGAGTCCCTTTGAATCTCGAAGGGGGCTACGGCAAGGTGATGGACTATCGTGTATGCTATTCAAAATCGCGTTAGAAGGTGTGATCAGAAAAGCTGGGATAGGCGATGGCATTGACATCATGGCACGGAACTTTGAGACGATGGCGGAAACGTACATCAGACTGAAGACTGAAGCTAGGCGGATTGGACTTGCCATCAACGCATCAAAGACAAAATACATGAAAGGAAGAGGTTCTAGGGAAGACAATGTTAGCCTCCCACCACGAGTTCAGATTGACGGTGACGAAATCGAGGTGGTCGATGAGTTTGTGTATTTGGGCTCACTGATGACCGCCGAAAATGATACCAGCAGAGAAATTCAAAGACGCATTATATCAGGGAATCGTGCCTACTTTGGACTCCGGAGGACGCTCCGGTCGAATAAAATTTGCCGCTGCACGAAGTTGACTGTCTACAAGACGCTGATTAGACCGGTGGTCCTCTACGGTCACGACACCTGGACTATGCTCGTGGAGGACCAACGTACGCTTGGTGTTTTCGAACTGAAGGTGTTGCGTACCATCTATGGTGGAGTGCAGATAGATGACGGAAGTGGAGGAGGCGAATGAACCACGAATTGCATCAGCTGCTGGGAGAACCATCCATCATCCACATTGGAAAAATTAGGCAACTACGGTGGGCTGGGCACGTCGTAAGAATGCCGCACGACGACCCAGTGAAATGTTTTTAGAAAGCGACCCAACAGGAACAAGAAAAAGAGGCGCGCAGCGGGCAAGGTGGATCGACCAAGTAGAAGGCGACCTGCGGACCCTTAGCAGACTACGAGGCTGGCGAAGTGTGGCCATGGATCGAATAGAGTGGAGTGGAGACGAGTGGAGAATCAGGCCTTAGCCTGATTGGTAAGGTAAGTTGTTGAGAATTTTCAGCATGAAACTGGTTCACATTATGTGATGAATTCTCCTGTTTCGGAACGCAAAACAGTCAGTTTTCCCTTGCGAATAAGTAGCTTGACGTTCCTCACGATTCTTCTTTTCCTGGATTATTTTCGGGCATCTTCTATCATCATTTACTTTGTGATTATTGAACACAGCTATGATCAGAATCTCGATTTCCTTCAAGGCAATTGGTGCATCGAATAGCAATTTTGCAGCTTTTCCTATCGTGACCCAAACGTCAATAATTGCAGCATTGGGGAATGGGATATACATAAGGTTTAATTGAATACAGTACTTTGCTGATCTCAACGTTAATCCATCAACGGTAGGTACGACAGTAGAGTGATGCAAAATTTGAAATTTTCGCTCCACAATACTTAAACGATTCCAAATCGAATCCTGACTAACCTCTCAAAATTTTAACCCATTTGGTGAGAAACTGAGATGGCACAAACCATTTGAAGTTTGTATGGGAATTACTATGTTAAAACCAAGATTTTTGTTCATGTCTATCTAATAATTCACCATATCGGCCTGCTTCAAAAGCTTTCAACTTTACTTGTAGGAAATTTTCCCAGCTTTGCTGAAAACCAGTTTTTGATTAAATGCAAGGATCTAAAGTTATCAATGGTTCAATGCGCTGATGTCTTATGATCATGCTCAATCAACTGCTCAGCAGGCAACATTGGTGTTTCTGGGGCGTTGAATAGGACACAAAAATCATGGCTACTAAGTCACACTGTAAAATACAGTGTTGCCTACAGAGCAGCTGCTTGATCATGTCATAAGTTTACCAATCTCTTAAATAATTAATAACTATTTCCTGTCTCATTTTACATATAAACGACCTTGAGCAAAGTTGTAGCTAAGAAAATTTTCTATAAGAATGACTATCGAACTGTTTCGCAGCTCAGCATGGAAAAAGACTAGAAAGCGATGAACAAAAAAGTTGAGATTTTTCATAGTAATTTACATGTAAACTTCAAATGGTTTGTGCGAAGTCTATTTCTAACCAAATGAGTTGTAACTTTGGGAGGCTAATCAGGACCCAATTTGAAACCATTTAAGCACTGTGGAGCGAAAAAGTCAAATTTTGCATCAGTCTAGTATGACAGTGTATAGTGAAACAGTAGAACCATCATCGCCTTTTTTGGTTATGCGCCAAAATTCAACAAAAGATGGATTTCCGTCCTAAACGAGCTATTTCTAGTCGAAAGCCTTAGCTGTTTCAAGCTCTTCTGAGTCTACTTCGAGCTCTATGTAGGCCACTCCGAGGCCCTCGACTAATCGTTTTGGAATCGAAAATTGTAACCCTTTGTAGTTCTTCTTCACCAGTTTATTGGCACTATCACGGGAACCCATTAGAATTTTCAGCTTTTTCTTTGACATGAGGGATGACTTTCACATAGTTCTCGCCGAACTTTTTCATCAGCGATTTGGCAATTTTGGTTGCAATAATGTTTCCAGCAGTAGATTCCGCAATAAAGGAACGGTCCAGAAAAAGAATCGTTGTACGTCCCCAAACGACGTATTAGCTGGTTGGTATCATTTACCGCGTCCTCCTTTGTACCACACAGCAGAGGTGATAAAACAAAGGGGGGAAATAAAGGATTGTTATTGACTTGCTTCAGAGACCGAACGATACCGATGTGATACGTACCGATGCACAAGTAAATGTAAAAAAGTAAATTTAGTTTTCAATTTGATCTCAAACTTTGCTCTGGTACTTGCAGTAATCATAATTTACTGCAAGATGCGCTGCGCAGAATTATGGCACTGCATTTTCATGTTAAGTCCAGAGGAATTTAAGGGCGTTACTTACAATACATCATTTCCACCAGCAGCAAAGTTCAGCGCCAGATCATACTCCTCGTCCTGTAGCATCCTCAGAAGCATGTCCTTCTGATGATCGGTTTCCGCACTCAGTAATTTATCGGCCAGTTCCTCTTTGACGACCGGATCACACACACTTCTGTTCGCGTGGAACTGTTCCAACAGCTGCTCCGAGTCAATCTTGATGGGCACAAAGTGAATCACTACATTCTTCATCAGTTTAAGCAGAGATGGTTCGGGAATTTTGTACCCGGCCAGGACGTGTCGAGCCAGGTTGATGACAATCTCGCGACCGATGGTCGTACTTTGGAACAGAGACGATAGGACGAGAATGTGTAGCTTGGTTTCCTCGGGAGTTCCAATCTGAAAAAAAAAAAATGCATAATGTTGTAACCCAAATTCCAATCGGGTGACACCTGATAAAGCAACTCACATTGTCGGTCATCTTCACCGATGGGTATGCCATGTCCACTTCGTTGTCTCCAAACTCCAGCGAAGCGGTTTTGTAATTTTTGTTCTCAAACTCGCTCATAATCTGATGCAACTCCGCGTCGCTGTGGTAACGCGTTCTCACCACATTCTCCAATGTACGATAGTCGTACGCCGATGACCAGTGCTGTGGATCGTCTCGCATTAGCAGGAAATCAACCAGAACTGGCGAGGTTGCCTCCGGAGGAATGCGAACCTGCATAACCTGAGGCTCGTAGCCAGAAGCATCGGCCGTGACGTTGTACAACCCCGGCAGCAGAATCCTATAGAAGTCTCCTTCCTCGGTGCTAAACGTGACATGCTGGATGTTGTTCACTTGGACCGTGGCATGGGCGATCGGATGTCCGATCGTGCTCTTTACCGTGCCGTAGATAGCGTGCTGTGCCTGTTCCACGTATCGCAGCAGTGCTTCACGATTCTGCATCCAGAAATTGGGCAGCTCTTCAGCCTTGGGGAACTTGTCGCAACCGACCTCGAGCGTCAGTTCGTAGGCACCGCCGACGATGTAGGACCAATCTTGCATGCCACCGGTAACGGAGTACCAAGCAGCGCCGTTGGTGATTCCGTCGGTGAAGCTTTCCTTTATGTAGGTGGGACACGGTTTTCCGAGGTGCATTGTTGTGTGGGCCTGAAAGAGGTACAAATGGTTTTTTACAATCGGTGTTGGACGTGCATGGGTGTAGGTTGTACTTTTTTAAACACAGTATTAAAAATTGTAAGTTTTAAGCTTTCTTACACATCTGAATTCTAACAATGATTGGTAGTGGGGGACGGAGTTAGATCGCCACCAAAACAATACAATAATAAGGGCAAATGTGATGTTGAACCTAAGTTCATGTTTTAGGAATAATGAAATATTTGTTTCGTAAATCATAACTCAAACCTCCTTCTCTCTCTCTCTCCATCCATACATCTGTAAAACTCTACTAACCTCGAGACAACCGCGAATAATCGGTTCAATTCCTTTAACCAAAGATATCTAATTAACAAGGTATCCCACTAATCAATTCTTCATACAAGACATATAATCACTACCCTTATGTGATAGCAGTGCCATCTGTTGAATGCACATTGAAACTGTTGGGAGTTCCCCGCCAACTTGACCACCAGGGCTCAATAACTGACAGGTGTCAGGATGACAGATGTCAACGCGGACGTTGATGATCAGCCGAGGACGATATCATCATCGAAGTCATCATCATTATATTGCGTTATATTGTTTGTGATTGCTCCGATTGTCAATCATTACCACTTTATACGCAACAGAAACACTTGAGAAAACAATCACACATCCAAGCGCGCATCATGCTTGTTTTTGCTTTAGAGCGTAAGAGTTTCCAATATACCACCGGTATCAGTAAGATGGAAATCTCTATTAGTAATTGATGATTTTCGGAGCTGGTGCTCAAAATAATCTTAATAAGCATAGAAGTAAACATGGGAAAAACATTCACTCTCTCTAAAGAATTATTCCAACACCCCAGCCACTGGAAATGCAACGTATCGAAATCATTGCTAAACGTAATAAAACATGCCGTCTTCTTTGGCCAACGCAGCACGCATTCTATTCAAAAATTACGTTGGAATAATCATTACTTTCCTATTTTATAACGTAGGAAGTATTTGTCAACGTCGGTGAAAGCAAACGTAAACGGAAGTAGCCGAAGCTGAATGATGACGATGAGTGATGCCACCGTTTCGTGTTTTGATTTGTGCTGTACTATCCGCTCAATTGTGTGAGTTCGTACATGTATAGATGTTGGTGTGCGTGTTTTCTTCCAATGCTGCAGTTCAACGTTGTCTCATCACAAACCGTTTGGCGCTGTTATCTGTCTCTATAAATTCCAAAGAGTGAAGGGGGTCTGCTTTAACTCTAGATTTAAATTAATTATGTATAACGCAAATGATAACTTGGCTCTGTAAAGTTTATTCGATTAAGCCTGTACAAATAAATGAATACAAAAAAAAAATCAAAATATGAATTCAACCGAAATTAAAAAATAAATATCAAAATATGTTATGAACATGATTTCAAAAACATAATTTGTTATAATTTTGATAGTATTTTGATATCCGACTTTGCTCGGGCAGGGTTTTGTTTTTCATAGTATGGGACTGTTCATAAACTACGTAGACCAATTTTTAGAGGTTTTAGACCCCCCCCCCTCTCCCCGCGCAGACAATCGTTCATACATTTTTTTAGAAATTTATATGGACCGTAGACATTTGTCAACCCCCCTCCCCCTCTAAAGAGTCTACGTAGTTTATGAACAGTCCCATACTATGAAAAACAAAACCCTACCCGAGCAAAGTCGGATATCAAAATACTATCAAAATTATAACAAGGCAAGTGAGAGGCATGGATGCTAACGACAACAACGGGCTATTCATAATTCGGCCTAGGAGGGCAACTTAAAAAATTTCCTGTGACTGTGTACATAACAAAAACACCAATACATGTAGGTACTTACATTAGCATACGTATGCGCCAGGTACTTGAACATCTCGTCCTCCTCCGTGGGGTTGTAAACGGTCCGTGGATTGCCGTAGCCGTTCGAGTAGGCAAAGTCCTTCGGCGAATCGTCGAACGGATAGTTCGCCACCAGTGCACCGCCGTGCAAGTTCGCCGACAGGACGAACGGAATCGACAACGACCAGTTCATAACGGCATGTGTCTCCGGTTCCTGCTTCAAGTCGTAGTGGTTCCGGCCGAACTGATCCGGAAAGTTTCGGTTCAAATCCACATTGTTCGCATTGGCCCGGCCCTTCAGGTTGTCTTTGTCTTCGATTTCGGAAATTTCATACCCATCCGGATTCATGCTGAACAGCAGATGAAGCCGGGTGTTGTTGACTAGCTTGGTGACCCGTTCCGTGCGGTTGTAGTTCTCGCAGAGATACTTGGCGAGCAAGAGCAGCAATTCCCGACCGACCACTTCGTTACCGTGCATGTTGGCAATGTATTTGACTTCCGGTTTGCCGGGAATGTGTCGACCCGGGGTGCGGGTGATTTCCATCACCCATAGATCGCGCTGCTGGACGCTCTTGCCGATGGAATAGAGACGGGTGATCGAGGGATAGTTACCGGCCAGGTCGTGAATCATACTGCAAGGAGGTTGTTGTAGTGTATGCAACATTTAAGCTATTTTGAAATGAGATGAGATCTTACGTCTCCATGGCAGTGAAGTTGTGATGTTCGAACTTGGGTCTCTGTAGGAATCCATACTGATCCGGTTGCTGTCGCACCACTCGAGGATGCATGGTCTTATCTGCAACTGAAAGCGTTAGGGTGGCATTGTTAGTTACAATTCGTAATCACATTTCGCACTTTGTAGCCGTTGTTATTTGGACATTAGTTTAACCGTAACCCACCTTACTCGCTATTAGGGAAGAGTAGTTATTGTCGCATTCGCTTATAAGGCATAACGTATGATTTGGGATATGGTGCAAAACTGTACAGGCAATACACCAATTCCTCGGTGAAGCACTCTAAGACGAAAAAGCGTTTTTTTTTTTTGGTTTTTTTTTGCACTACACCATACACACATACACATTTATCGCCGTCACTTTTGCTGACAGTTTTTACTTACTTTCCCGAAAAAATGGATTTGACAAGAAACGCAAAAAATAAAATATAGGTACAAACTCAAGATCTAATGAAAGACTAAATTTGGGAGAATCAATTTTTGGAAAATTGCTTTATTCATGTGTATAGATAGATTTGTTTTGTTCATTTATACAGCTCAACATTTCTTCTTTTGATCGTGATCAATTTTGTTTGCTAAATAGATTAACTGTTTTTGTGTGCATTTACATTTTTTTTTGTTTTTTTTTTCCAACACCATCGCTTATCGCGTGAAGAGAGATTTTTTTTCTTGAAAACTTTTAACACTAACATGGACATGGAGAGAAGAATTGCGACAGATCAGCTCGCGCTCAATATTTATAGGTCCCAGCCGGCATTTGGGTTAAGGGTTACGAACAGCTTGAGGTAACCTGTGGGGCTATTCTTGTTTTAAGTAGAGATTTGTGCCATTCCGCGGATAGTCTCTCGCTTTTATTTAGACAGTTGATTAGTTTTACTTTCGAGAGTGGGTTCCAAACACCGAGTGTTTGATTTTGTGGTTGTTTTTACATTCAAATGTGTATATGTATAGGTATGTGGGGGTGGATAGAGCCATGCTTTTAAGTGGCGTGCTGTCTAATTTGCCAGTTTTTTTGTTCTGGTGCAGGCGGGTAAAATTCTAAACTTCCTAAAAGCTATTTTAACATGCGCTAAGAAAATAAATAAGATTGTTTGTAATTGAGTTTTCTTTCAAGAATAATCATTTGATCGTCTTTTGTTCACTTGTCTTCGGTACAACCGTTGTTGGGGATAGTTGTGATAATATTGTTGGAAGTACAAAGGTTGTTGAGGTTGAGGTTGTGGTTGATAGTACAGTGGTCTGTCGGTGTAGTACTGACGGTAGAAGGGTTGGGGGAAGGTCGATCTCGTACCGGTTTGGTACAAATGCGGTACCCATTCGCGTTGATAGGGCGTCTGTGGTGGTCTGATGGTGATGGTCGGCATAGTTTGAGGAGGTCTTCTGGGCATAGTTGGCCTACGATTTCTCACTGAAACACGTTGGAACGTTTGGTCAGATGCAGGTTGGTATTCGTTGCTTTTGTGACAAACAGTTGTGAGTGTTCACAGCAATGCTTGTTTACCTATTATAGGATATTGAATGATAGCACTATGGAAAGAGTTCTATGCGGGCCGAATGATGCGTAGCTTATTTACTTGCATGACTTATGAAACAAATATAAAGCAAATCAAGATTAAATTTAATGAGTTAGATCACAGACAAATAGACGTAACACATTTGAGGTTCAATAATAATACTGTTAGTTTGCGGTTCACTCGCCTTAATGCATTTGGCCATCCAGAAGATTTGGACATCCGAGTTATACGAAATGTAATTAAAATGTGGAGAAAAGAGAACTTACCATGTTATAGAAATCTACAACACAGTGAACACTCAGATTTCTATATGTTAAAGGGTGTCTCTCGAAGCGATTGATACCGATGATCCAGCAGTAACTATGACAACCCCACTATCTTTTGGTTGGATTTAGCGTCTTGTCACTACTCCAAGTACACACCAAGCTGGTACGAAAATCAAAAACCACATTTGTCCTTCAAAATATGAATTCGCTAAACCAGCCGTCCTCAAACTTTCGTTGTCTGTGACTCACTTTGAGAAATTTCATAAACTCGCGACCCACCCATACTGTTACAGGTCGGACTCGATTATACGGGGGTTCGAATCCGGAGCCATATTTTTTTTTCTGTAGTGACTTTCAGTATCCTCCAGTACCTAGTAGTGATGATTTGTATTTTGTTCAAAAGATTTCAACTGGAAATGCAGTTTTATCCCTGGCAAATTGTTTTTCTATTTAATGTAGGTTTATTTTAGTAACCAAGAGGTGCCCCCTTTTCAAAAATTGTTCACCACTGTTCCTCATCTAACAAAAACAGTTGCATAGTTAAATACAAGACAAATTAGACTAACACACGTTACAATTTACATTTACATACACTGTCGTAAAAACTAGAGTCCATTGAATTGTAATGAAGTTTACGCATTTTCAAGGGTTTATACTTTTTCGATGAGCTATGGGAGAAGCACTTCTGATACTGCTAATGTTCAACATCCGCTTTACTGTTCGAACCATCTTTTTTTTTTTTTTTTTAATTCTTTATTTAAGAGATTTTTAGCCTTAGGCTAGTTCATCTCTAATTCGAACCATCTTAATTCATCTTCGGGACGCACAATAGACCGCTTGTTGGAAGCTCCTGGATCCTCCAGCCCTGTCATGCCGATTTCTGCCAGCGCTCAGCATAGTTGTCCTGGACTTGTGACTGGATATGGATTAGGAGTCTTCCACTTGCTTCTACATGCAAGTACAATCAATATATTGACCATTGATGCCTGATGCCGATAAAAATTTCAGCCATTCGGACTATGTTAGTCATTGTGATGAACCTTCGTTCGTCATAGTTGTTCCGGACCCGCTGTCGGATGTGGAGAAGTATTCAATCAGACTTGATGATGGTCAGTTTTTACCTGATGTAGTGCGGAGGCGAACCAGCCCAAGACTGAAAGCCTCCCTAATAAAGAAAACATAACTTAACTTGCCTAATGTATCTGTGATGGCTGTGGCTCGATTCTCGAACGCTTTCCAGTCTTTCGTTGCGATCGGAATCCTAACAACAGCCGTAAATCTACTGGTGAAGGTGTCTTTATAGCTGTCCGTGGCGGGCTGGAGGCAAAGGCCATCGAGAACGATTAAGGTGTTTCCTTGTAGAGTCCATTTTTCCATCACACCTCGCAATTTCAAGAGCACACAACTCGAGATCTACGAGGTTTATACATCTGCAAACTTCAGACATTGCTTGCTACTCCTCAGCAAACAACAAGTAGTAGTTTCAGCTACGTGCATTCACAGAAACCTTAATATTTTTACATGTGAAATTGCGAAGTGTAACATGAAAAAGGACGCTACAGGGAATCACCTTAATGGAACAATGTGGCGCAGGTTTGGACCAAGGGAGGTGCGATGCAATCTGGTGAACGCTCTTAGGGACGTGTCTGCCAATGACATAAGCCAAGACATGTGAAAAAGTTTGATCAACGGTTTCAACGTTATCGAAATCGAGTATGTTTTCCCAATCAATGCTTGACAGCACATCGGCGATGATACGATGATTAGCTTTCCGGAAATTGCAAGACACCGTAGAGGAGATGTCTTCGAAATACTGGATGTTATTGTCTTCAACAGTAATAACCAAAGGAGGATGATGAGGAACTGCCTTTACGAGTGGAGAAGGAGCCGACGAGATGAATGGAGCCGTATCCTGGGCGCTTACGAAACAGAGGTCTAAGCTACGATTGTTCTCGTTCACCACGGAAATGATTTGAGAAGGCTAACTGATCCAGAATGGAAAGCAGAACCTGCGGCGTCCGGAAAGAGAAAGGCACTGTGGGAAGGTTTCCACGAAACACCAGCAAGATTAAAGTCGCCCAGAACAGTAATCTCATCGATAGGTGATGCACAATGCATTGTGGTGAAAACGGATCGACAATGAGTGTCGATAAGTTCAATGTCACGAACTCGGTCGGGTGCGATGTATATCACACATAAGTACAGTGTGCGATCGCTCAACTTGACAGCTACCCATGCCTGTTCAACGCAGTTTTACTTGGCTCTAGCATTCAACTCGGGCCGAACAGCAATCAGAACACCACTGTTCGGGTTTCGATCGCAGAGGAATACCTCGTACTCACATCCGAACACCTGACTGGAAAGTGTTCGAGAGTCTAGCCATGTCTCAGTTAATACTATTACATCATAACAACGGTCCGATACAGCTAAGAGGTACTCGAGGAACGTCAGAATTCATTCCACCGATGTTTTGATAGTACATGATGATATCAACAATCAATACGAAACTATCGATTTTAAATTGGCTCACTTCTTGACTAGCCCATTCTAGTCGCAATTCTAGTACTACACAATGTTTGTTTTGATTTACCATGAAAGTTTGACAGTTAAAATGAGGGGTTCGTAGATTTTCCTATGTTTCGAGGGGTGTATCGATTAGCTTGGGACCGAAGATAGTACCAGAGCTGAGCCAAAAAGTTGAGCACGTTTATTCGGGACCTTCTGGTCTTAAAGTTACCTCTATGATGATATCCTGTTTTCGGCGTATATCCGGGTTAGGCGGAGCGATTTCCCTGAATTCATCTGTCCCAGAATTTCATCTACCAAATCACATTGGACAACCGTGGATTAATTCAGTTTTTTAAAAAAAATTTAAGACCTTAATTAGATTTATAAAAAAAAAGAGTTTCTGTTAAGGGGAAAAATACTCAAAATGTGGCATATTGGAAAATTTACAGGAGAACAGATTAAAAAAAGATACGTTATTTTGGTTCTGGAAAATTATCAAGGTTCTGCAATTTGGAAGAATGTTATGGGCTCCAGCAACTTAAAAAAAAATGTAAGAATTCTGAGAAGAATACCTATGGATTTCTTATGCAAATTTAAAGAGGCATTAAATTGTTGATTCAATAGAAATGCTGAGAAGAATAACTATAGAATGCCGGTAAACATCCTAGGGAGTTCTGACCAGGAATTTTTAAGAAATTTTGATATAATGTCTTAAACAATTCTTAGATGATTTCCAAGGAATGTATGGAGACAAGAAAGAACATCATGGAGAATTCCTACGTGATTCTGGGTAGAATTGTATAGGGCTCGTGAGGAGAATAGCAAGTCAATTTAAAGAATAATTCCAAAATAATTCTGGCGAGAACTCGATTTCTAGTCTAATCTAGGATTACCAAGGACAGTTTTGATTAAAATTTTGAGAGTATTTCCAAAGGAATAGAATTCTCAAGATAATATTAAATGAATTATGTATAAGATTCCTAGGAAATTCTTCGAAGCTCAAGGGAATTCCGACGAAAATTCCAAAGTACGAGAAGTGACCCAGTGGATTTTAAGGAGAATCCCATGATTATTCTGATCAGAATTCCAAGATGATTAAGGAAAAAAATGTCTGATGATTTTAAATAGTTTAATATTAAACCATTCGGAAAACTAACACATAAGTTTATAAGGCTTTAGGGGAAATGGCTCTAATGTTGGCCTATGGATCTAAGATTTGGCCCACCACTAAAAATCTGCTATTCATCAATTTTATCTAGATGAACGTGTCATTGGGACGGTACTAATGGATATTGTGGGTCGCTATTGACAATTTAGTCGATTGCTGAATTTATGTATGGGCCCAAATTAGGGGCATTTAGACCGACATTACATCGATTTCCCATATATATATATACAATATAAAAAATTAAATTTAGTGTCATTTATTGTGATTTTCCCGGTTCTCCCGTCGAAGTTCCCGGTTACTTTTGAAATTTCAGGGTATTTTCTGAAGTGGTTCGCAGGCCACCCCGATGAAGCCTCCATAAACACCAAAAAAGCATTACACACTCCAGTTAGTCATTTCTGAAGAAGCGTGCACGCTTGTTCGAATGTTTTGTGGTGAGTGTTCCTATACAGTGTGGGTACCAATGTTTTAAACTATTATACTCAGCACTTAAGGTGATACGATACAGCGTCCACCGGCAGGACGGCTGACTTACACTACCGCTTCAAATTTTCTAATGAGTAAATCTCGAGCACTACTGCGATTTCAAACATGAAATTTACATCGCAGCAAATATGGGGAAGCATTTTTGTTGTTATTCTGGTAGCTGGTATTTATGTGAAGCTGTAAACGTGACGAGATAATCAGGTTTGCAATTATTAACATTTGTGGGATTGTTGGTGTGTTGCCAAAATCGGACCCTCACTATATTATTAAAAAAAAATGTTATAAGACGAATCTAAATCGAAATAAGATGCGTTGTTGCGTTTATGAACCTGAAAAAGCAAGCGTATGAATGCACATCAAAAAGGTTAAAATAGGATGATATGAATAAATAAATTAATAAATTGAGCTATCACCATCCGAACCCACACACCAAAAAAATGATTACAAGTTGTTATGCTTCCAAGGCTTCTCATTGTTTGTACACAAAACACTTTATCATGTTAAACCCTCAACAGTATTTGTCCTGTTCAAAAAACTCCTTTCTTTTTCACATTCACAAACACGGTGAACCGAATAGACAAACTCTATCAGAACGAGTGGGACCAATCGTATTGGTAATGAAGATGTTATTGTAGTTGTTGTTGTTGCTGTTTTTGTTAGGAGAATGCCGAACGAACAGTTCGGGATCGGATCGACAAGCTCATAAATCCAAACCCATATAACCCATGATAGCTAGCGATGCTGAGACTGGGGCTGCTGGTGCCACTACTGTCTTATTTACCTTTACCGTCACCCTCGTCGGCGTCGTACGACTTGAGGCTAAAGTTGACGCGCAGCGGTTGCTCGGCGATGATCGTGATCGGGACCTCCTGGCTCGGGTAGAATCTAGAACAAGGATCGTTTCCTGGTTAAAATTTGTACTGTTTACATCAAAATATGCGGTACACCTACCCGACGGTTTCAACACGAATCTTGTAGTTGCCTGGTACCAGCAGACGCCAGTACTCTCCCCGCTCGGTCGTACGTATATTCTCGGTAATTCCATCTACAATGATTTCGGCATCCTTGATAGGAGATCCATTGCTATCGGTAACGAGTCCCTAAAATGAAATGCAAAAGTTTAAACACATGTATTCCCTAGCCTGAATCCATTAACCACTCACCCTAACGCCAACATGGGTCAGCTTGATGTACTCGATCAGCGAGCGCTTGTTCTTGTGCCATTCCTTGGGCATTTCGCTCGCCTTCGGGTACTTGCAGCAGCTCAGTTCCAGTGTAATTTCGAAGCAATTGCTGAACACGTAGTTGAAGTCCTGCATGCCGCCGTTCAGCTCGTACCAGTACGCCCCGTTGGTGATGCCGTCTTTGAATGTTTCGTTGCAGTCCTTACCGTCCTTCATGACCGGATGATTCTGGGCGTATACCAGCGAAGCGTACTTGAAGAAGTGGTTATCCGGAGATGGGCTGTCCTCGCAGCAATCGTGGTGCGAACTGGTGGTGACAGAAAAGCAGGGATGCCAGGCGCATTTAAAAAAAAGACTTCAACGAGATCGACGATATGTCTTCAACGCTTCAATGTTTAATATTTCGATTTTATAAAGTGAGTCTGCTGAATTACAGAGGATCAGGGACCTTTTTAGAAGTCAAGGGTTAATTCATATAATGTTAAGAGAGAGCTTGGTAGAATTTCTGGGAACTCCGTTTAAGTTCAGGAAGCGTTGTAGAATTTTAAGGAACTGCATTTCATATACACTAAAAAAAATTTCGCCGAGATTTCAACAGCCGAGTAGTTCTGCAATTTATTTTGCTGAGATTCAGTAAAACAATTGACGAGACTCAGCTAACAAATAAGATTTTGCTGAGATATTAGCTAACAAGTAGATATTTTTCAGAGATATCAGCAAAAGTAAACGCCGAACTAATCGGCTGTTGGAGGTTTTACCGAGCTAGATTAAGTGTGTAGATCTTCAAGAAACTTCGTAGTACTTTAGAAACTGCGTTAGCTCAGTCAGTAAAGGCACTGCTAGAAAGCAAGACCATGCTGGAGGTGGCTGGGTTCGATGCCCGTTGCAGCCTAATGTTTGTCAGAAACTATAAGAAATTGAAAATGAAAACACAATCAAAAAAGTCATTATACTTTCAGGGTTACCAAATTCATGGGATCTTGACACCTTGATTGGCATACTTCGGCCTACTTCAGTACGTTCGACACAGTGCTTGGCACAGCTTTCGGCACTGCTAAATCACGCGCCACAGCTTAGGTTGTGCAGAGTTGAATACCACTTAGGAACCACACAATCCATCAAGGTATAGAATATCGAGTTGTGGAGAGTTGACGGTATTTTCCAAAGTGCTTCCTAACCTTTGTGATGTGATTAAAACTATCAGAAATGATTCAGTATTTACAGAAGTAATTCCGAACCTTTATGGGATTCTTTCAGTACGTTACGAAGTGATTCAGTACTTTCCGAAGTGATTCACAGGGTGGTTCAGAATACCTGTCACCGATTTTACAAATATGCAATTCTCAATGGGTAAAATGGGTATATGTTCAAGTATTTTTGTTTTAAAGTGTGTACAAATTTCAGCTCGTATTGATAGTTGGATTTGAAATTTCATTAGTTTTCGATCATCATTATAGAGGTAAAAGGGAACCATGCGTGGAAAATCCGTTCAATATTAGAGCTTAAACGCATCGCAATGGCTCCAAAAGTGCTACAACTAAAACATGCGTGCCAGCTGTGGTTCATTTTCGCGACAAGTGTGGCTGGTAATTAAAGGTAAAGGGAGAGAGATTTGAATTAAAGTATGCTATGTTGAAGGTTATATATGTAGTATATCTGGAATATACTGATATCAAAATAACATGCAAGCGTTCAATCGCTATGACCATTTTTAAAAGAGACAGTTTTTCCGAATCACCCTCTAGAACTTTTCTGAAGTGAATCAGTACTTTTCGAAGTGATTCTGAACATTTCTGGGATGATTCAGTTTTTTTTAGAAGTGATTCCGAATTTTTATGAAGGGATTCAGTACTTTCCGTAGTGACTTTGAATATTTCTTATGTGATCTAGTACTTTCTGAAGTGATTCAGTTCGATCTGAAGCAGCGAATCCAAACACATAAAGCAACCAAAGATACAGACAAAACGCTTGCTTCGACTGCCACGACAAACTTGCTCTGTAACATAGCTCGATCGGAGTGGTAGAAGGATAATGATATATTGCTTGCCTGCTTTGTTGCAATATACACGGATGAGGACATAGCTTGATCTGAATCGAGAAAAGACATAACAAAAAAAAATCCCATTAACACACGTGTATCATCTTCGGCTTTACTTCGTGAAGCAGCTTGCCAACAATTTGCTCGTTTCCTTCTACCGCCCCGAGTGAGCTGTGTCGTACGGGCTGCTTGTCATGAAAAAGAAGGAAGAAGACTATATCATTATTGCTTTCCACTTCTGACATAGCATTATCATTCGGTTCGTTCATCGCTTGTCATTTTGTCATTTGGAGATATTTTTGATTCCTTGATCAGAAGTGATTTCGAATTTTTTATGAATTGATTCAGTACGATGTATATCAGTGCTTTTAGAAATGATTCCGAACGTTTCTGATTTGATTCAGTACTTAATTGATTCAACCCCTTTCGAAGCGATTCCCAAGTTTGCTGAAGTGAATCAGTACTTTTCAAACCGATTCCGAACATTTCTGAAGTCTTTCCGAAGAGATTAAGAAATTTTCTGAACTGATTCAGTTGTTTCCAAAGTGTTACCCAACCTTTTTAAAGTGTATCAGTACTTTCCGAAGTGATTCCGATCATTTTTTAAGTCCTTCAGTACTTTCCGAAATGATTACGAACTTTTCAAAAATAATTCAGCACTTTCCGAAGTGATTTAGTATTTTTTTTTCTAGTGATTATTACTTTACGAAGAATTTCCGAACATTTTTGAAGTGATTCAGTACTTTTCGAAGTGATTCCGATCCTTTGTGAAGTGATTTAGTACTTTCCAAAGTTATTACGAATTTTTCTAAAGTAATCCTTGCTTTTCGAAGTGATTTTGAGCTGTTCTGAATTGATTAAGTGCTTTTCTAAGTGATTCCGAATATTTCTGAAGTGATTCAGTTCTTTTAAATAGAAGTGTTTCCGATCATTTCTGAAGTGATTCAGTACTTTCCGAAGTGATTCCGATTAGTTCAATAGTAAGTCAGTACCGAAGTGATTTAAAACTTTTCTGAAGTGATTCAGTACTTCTTGAAGTGGTTTCAAACATTCTGGGATGATACAGTTATTTTAGTAGTTATTCCGATTTTTTATTAAGTGATTCAGTACTTTCCGGTGTGATTTAGAACTTTCCTGAAGAGAATCAGTACTTTTCAAAGTAACTCCAAACATTTCTGAAGTAAATCAGCACTTTCCGAACTTTTCTCAAGTGAATCAGTACTTTTTTCAAGTTCCAAAAACGCAAATTCTATCATCACCAAGCGTATTCAGCACGTTTTTCAGCAATTTCAATATTTTTTAGGAGATGCTAAACTTTTTGGGGCAATACTTTTGAATGTGAGTCCATACTTGTGACCGGTAGTGTATGTCTTCAAAATGTAGACAAGTCTTCAAATCTGGCGTCCCTGCAGAAGAGTTGATTAGGTTCAGCAGTTAGTCAGTACTAAGCTAAGAAAAAAAAACCGACATGACAACGGGCCTCACATAGCCTAGTCAGTAAAGGTACTGTATTACCAAGCCGGAGGAACGGCGGGCTCGATTCCTGTTCGGTTGAGGGCATAGAGTTTAATTGAGACTGCCACACAATATACAAATTCATGCATTGGTTGGCATAGAAAGCTCTCAGTTATTAATTGTGGAAGTGCATCTAGAACACTATGTTGAGAGCCAACAAAATGCTCGCATAAGAAGCGTAAAAATCCTAGACGAAGAAGATCCGACACAGGCTTCTTTTGTTGCTCTTCAATGTTTCTGCAGTCCCTGTTGAAAATTATCCATGCTAAATCTTTACACACAGTTCTGATAATAATTTTGCTCACCCTGCTCAAAATTAAACCAATCGTAAGCCAATCAGTGACTGGATCCAAATATATACCCCAGTTATCTTGTCTAGTCGGTAGGAAATAAGTTTGGAAGTTGAGAAAGTAGATATTTGCTAAGCCACAACAGAAATGAGTTTGTTTTGGATCAACATTGGCATCCATTCCAAAAATAGGTTCGTATGACGCGTTTCAAACAGTGCTTACCAGGCAAACACGGTTAACAAACAAGCAAGGTAATTCTTCTTGAGAGGGAAGCATTTCCCACTTTCTAAGGTTTCTCTGCTCTTCCCACTCAACACGGGAGTACCCCATTTGCCATAATGCCGTTTGGCATAAATGCGGAAAAACGCTACCGATAAATAGTTTTAGTGCTTTATTCTTTCATGGGCTACGCTTCAACGGAATTTCAAACAACATCTCATGATGTAAAGAAGGGAACATCATCATTTAATGGGTATTTTCCCTTCTTTTGACCATGAGCAGTTATTTCATATTTTTTAAGACAAAAAATAATTTACAATGCTTTCTTCCGCGTTTATGCCAAACGGAAGTTATGCCACATGGAGTACTCCCCTCAACACACAGACTAAATCGCCTTAATAAACCAAACTTTCCCTGTGATTTCGCTAGCGAATATGCACTTCCATCCATCGTCGATTGCAATCATACTCACATCGAGTTGTCGAACGGATAGCTGGCCACCACGGCTCCACCGTGAAGGTTCGCCGACAGCACAAACGGATTGCTCCGGATCCAGTTCATGACGGCCACGGTTTCCGGCTGATAGCGGTTGCGGCGCAAATGCCGTATCCGCTCATTGTCTAGGCGGTCCGGGAAATCTCGGTTCAGATCGACTTTGGCTGCGTTGTACCGTCCCATGTAGTTGGGCAGTGATTCGCAGTTGCCTTCCTGGAATGGGAGAAGGAAAAAAGGATAAAAGGAAAAATTAATACAGATTGTGATGCACTTGTGACGATGGAGATGCAAATGAAAGGTTTTATTTTCCTTTTGCTACAGAGGATATTCATAGCATTAGCGTGGGTGGAAGAGTGCCATTAGCAACAGGTGGGCGTCACATTTTTCGCAGTCGTCAGATCGTGTGGGTAAATGTAATCCGATTTACAAGGAGGAGCATGCTTTATACGAGGCAAACGACAGGTGGTAGTTACAGTTTTGCACCGTAGTTGTCATCTACAGCAGTCTGCTCCAAAAAAAAAGACGTTATATGGGACATTGAATAAATTACCAACATTTAATTTGAACGAATGATTGGCATCATACACTTCATCAAGGTTGGATATTTTATTTTGAGCCTCTTAAGTGTAACGAACTAGACATAGCAATTTCGAAATCATTCCCGGATAAAAAAAATGGTATGGTTTATATTGAACGGTAAAAGCGTGCACAGCAAAAACTTTACAAATTTACATGTGGTTTATTGATGTATTTCTGGCCTTAGTTGACACATAGCAATAAAACTTTAAATTTACATGCAATATTTAATAATTCATTTCTTGGCATCTGTCCTTTCAAATGATTTCACTGTCATTATAGATCAATTGGAATTTATTGAATTTTTAACGATCAACGATGTAAATTTATATGAAAGTGTAAATTTCAGCTTTAGTTTATTGAATTAGACATTTTAAACGTGTATTTAAAAAAACTTACTTCATTATGATGGCTACCAAGCGAAAATCTAAAATTGCGACCATCACGAAAAGGTGTAAGGTTTTGAACGCTTATAACTTTGTCATTTATAGATGAAATTTAAATCCAAATACATCAATCGATAGGAAATAACTCTCAAAATCTGTTACAATAAACGCTTTTTTCAATTTTCCGTGAAAACAACAAATAAAAAGTGATAATTATTTCAATGAAATAAACGTTCTCCCCAAACCAAGTCATCATAATCGAGTATGCATTTGGTTGTGCATCGTTTTGCTTGAACCTCTAAACTATATAAGAGCTCTGCTGTCGTTCCTCCGCTCATGGTCATTGGTTGCTAGACCGTCTAGCAGTATAGTTCGTTCGTTCGTTCGCTCTGCTATCGAGTTTCTTCTTATTAATTTTATTGTAACGTTCACGTCGTGAAAGTGTCGTCATCAACAGGCACATTGGCAAGTCTAATTGCACTTGCCACTAAACAAAGCATGGTACGCAAGCGTTCTACTACTCCTGCATCGGAGGGCCCTAGTAAACAGGCCCAAATCGACGCCAGCGCTGCTTCGGATGACGCAGCTAATCGGCTGCTACAGTGCAACCAATTCTCGGTGTTCGGAGTTGAAAATGGCGGTGGTGACGCCGCTGAAATTGCCAAAAAGGAACGGATTCCCCCGCTGTTTACCCCGATGAAGGACGTCGTCAAGCTTAGGGATGAGCTGGCAAAACTCAAATTGTTTCCGCGATTCAAAGATCATGTGCTCCAGCCTACAGCAGTACAAGTCGGTCGGTAACCTACTGAAGAACAGTACGGTTGAGTTTTACACCCACGATTTGCCTTCGGTGAAACCATTGAAGGTTGTTTTACGGGGACTGCCGCCGTAAAAGATGAACTGGTGAAGCTCAGATTGAAACCAGAGGCGCTCCACCCAATGAATCGACGGCATATGCCCAATACTAACTATCGTGACCAACTGTTTCTGATCCACTTCACGAAGGGCACCACCACCCTTGCTGCGCTGAAGAGCAACATACGTGACCTGTTTCAGGTCATTATCTACTGGGAATTCTACAAACCACAACACCGTGATGTGGCCCAATGCACAAGTTGCCGCTCTTTCGGCCATGGCACGAACAACTGTCATATGAAACCACGCTGCGACAAGTGTGCTATGGCCCACTCGACGGCGACCTGTGCTCAAGCTGATGACTCCGAGCCGAAGTGCGTGAATTGCTGCTGTACTCACCGTGCCACTACTCGGGACTGCCCCAAGCGAACGGAATACATCAATATCAGGAAGAAGGTGGCTACTAGCAACCAGCCAGACCGGCATCGAAACAAACGTACACTAAAAGCCATCACTGATGAACAATACCCGGCAATCCAGCCTCGTCGACTGGTCCAAAATCTTCCACCGCTACTCCTTAACAATCAACGAGCCGTCCCCTCAGCTCAGCATCGCTTCACTGCTGCAGCGGCCTTGCCAAATCAAGTTTCTGCATCGGCGCCTGGACTATCGTATGCCCGTGTTGCCTCAGGCGATTCAGTTGACGAATCTCCGTTTACATCGGAGGAACTAGTAACGCTGGTTGCAGAGGTGATCGTCATCCTGCGCACCTGCAAGACTCGATTTGAACAGCTTCATGCTGCCTTATCTCTCGACCGTGAAGCTATAAATATAGAAAATTGGAACGCTTGCTCGCAGACGAACAAGCATAGAGAGCTACTCGATTACCTCAACACCAAGGAGATCGACATTGCTATCATCAACCGAGATGCGAGTTTGGGCTTCAACTGAACGTATTCCTTCCCGACTTGCGGCTCGTCAGATGTGACCACACCTGCTCCGGGGGTGGGGGAGTGGCCATCGCTACAAGACGGAACATCAGTTGTCGGCTGCTACCAAACTTCCAGCTGAAAACAATCGAAGCCATCGGAGTGAAGGTGAACACATCACTTGGCCCAATTATCATCATCGCGGCCTACTACCCCAAGCAAACCAACAACAGGGACAGATCGTCAGTGGCCCTCCGGAAAGACATCATAAAACTCAGCCGGAGATGCGGGAACTTCATCATCGCTGGCGACCGAACGCAAAACACCTAGCTTGGGGCAACGGTCAGAGCAATCGAAAGGGCACCATCCTGAACGAAGACCTGCAAGAGGGCCACACCTCGTAACCTGTGGCTTTCCAGGAGCTGAGCTCGGACCACTACCCGGTGGTGGCCGTTTGGGTTTTATGAATGTACTGTAGACCATGATTTAGACTTGTAGAGTGCTTTAAAACCCCAATAAAACTTTCAATGTTACTTGGACTGGGATGTGCAATACGTGCTTGTGAACGATTTCCCACCGGAGGTTAAACGTGTTATCCATAACAAATGTTCAACGGAGATGCGATGGACATTGAAGTGTGCACGGGGAATTTATTTTATAACGGAGGATGAAAGACAAGTGTTTCAAATGCGGAAATATCCCTAACGGAAAGCCCAGAAACAGCCGGAAGAATAGCTAATAAGGGTGAGGAAATTAACATGTCAAGGAGAGAAATAAGTTACTTCTACTGTAATTTAAATTAATATCAAGAAAAATGCACAAGAAGTTCACTAAACATCTCAACGTAGTCTACGTCAACCATCCGGTCGTGTCTTGTACACCTCCCCACCATTTTGCTTTATTAGAGAGTTGGATAGACTTTTCTCCTTAAATCTTTGGTTTTTTTAGTTAGGTAGGTTCCGATTCTACACATTGTAGTTTCATTTTTATACCTAGGAGATGAGTACTTAAGGGGGTTAGATTTTGATAAGTTTTTTAGTAGGAATGACACTGATGAAGACTGCACATTGTAGTTGAAATACGTATCTGTCATAGATACCAAAATTAATTAAGTGGAACTAAATGGAAGATAACCTTTTTTGCTGTTTTATTTAAGCATTCCGCTAACAAGCCAATTTCATTACTTCAGTGTATTTTTTTTATTAAAAAAGTTGCTGCAGTTCGTAGTTTTATTTCTTCAATCCGTTTATTTGATAAGACTCAACTGTCTTAATAAAACTTCACAGAGCCGAAAGTTTTTAAAAACATTCTGCAATCAATTAAAAAAGACACTATAACGAAGTAGTGTCGTAGCCCGTGATGAGGTTTCCTGATGAGTGGCCCCAATTTCTGGGCATCTCTTCACAGTGTTCCTTGGCATTCGGAGTCATCACATCCATTTACAGCTTTCTTTGCAAGCACCTGCACCTCTTCATACGTAAAACTGTGATTGTTGTCTAACGAGACATCCACCACACCAGTGTATTGCAACCGATGTGCTCTTTATCCGGCTGCTTCCGGACAATCTGCTTAGGACAGGAATTCATTCGGTGCCCCTCCATCCTATACAAGAAATACTTGAAACGTATCAAACATCAGATTATTTTTTCGTTTGAAACCAAAGTTTTTGAAACTTTGGGAGTTTCTGTCGAAACAAAATTTGGACAACTTACTACCTATTTTCCATTACAATGCGTAGGCCAACAAAATAATTTTCTCAGTTCTTTCAGAAAGAAAGGTTCTGATCACCTCCCGCAACTTTTGAAATATCCCAAGAAATTATTTCTTTTTTTTTTTTTTTTTTTTTTTTAACTCTTTATTTGTTCCAAATTCAAAATAAATTACATTTCATTTTAACCTAGGTGCTCCAGTTACTGCAGTAACGTACCAGCCTTAATTGTTATGATATATATCTAAGTGTTTTTACATTGTTCATGTCTTGGCAATTCAGTATTTTAAACAGGTTTTTTAAACCTGCATGTCAGTATAACAATTGATATCTTAAAACTAAAAACTAAAACTAAATCTTATCTAAGTATAAAGGGAATTAATCGTTGCAATTGAGGATTGCAACGATTTTTGCCTGAAATTATTAATTATTTTGTTGGACATTTGTGCTAAAGTCTCAACATTCGAAATTCTATGTACTTCGGTTGTACTGTACCAGGGAGGCAACTTCAAAATCATTTTCAGAATTTTGTTCTGAATCCTTTGAAGTGCTTTTTTCCTGGTAGTGCAGCAACTAGACCATATTGGCACAGCGTAAAGCATGGCCGGTCTAAAAACTTGTTTAAATATTAGAAGTTTATTCGTCAGGCAAAGTTTGGATTTCCTGTTTATAAGAGGATACAAACATTTTATATATTTGTTACATTTGGCTTGAATGCCCTCAATGTGATCTTTAAAAGTTAATTTTTGGTCAAGTATT